GTACATCTTTTGCTGAACGTCAGTAAACTCATTTGCTGTTAAAGGTGTCGTATCTACAATGGATTCATCATCGCTCTTAGGCATGGTTAGACAAGTAGGTGCCGTCGCTTCACTTTCACGTTGACAATTGTATTTAGCGATAGAGGTGCCGACTCGCCACCATTGCTATGGATGGCTAGACCTGTTAATGCGATTTCCCACATTTTAAAACACAAACTCAAAACTGGAAAATAATATTTGTCCACAAAATGTCATATGTGATATTTCAGATTATAACAGATGCAAACGGAAAACCCATGCGTCTAAAGATAAACCAAAATAATATAATTGTATATTTATGCGTAAAAGGATTTGTTATTACATTAAAATGTACAGATTTACATATGTTAAGTAGTCTCTTGACACATCACACTGATGTTTACGAACCTGCTTTAATGAAGATTGGCATGCCATTGAATACTGACGTACCTTCATCAATAGGTCTGTGAAACAAACTGAATCATGCAGTTTGGCACAAAGATACAACATATAAATCCAGTTAGCAGAAATAGTTCTTGCTAACTCAAAGGTATTGACCATTTGTGGTGACTACTAAACATGCACGGCATTCATACCCGTAGCCCTTACTATGTTCCTAAGAATCTAATATCATGTTACACATGCTTTACTTTTATGAGTTTTTAACGAAATGGTGTCGCTGTTGGTGTCCTAAAGAATTATCATTGACAGATATCTAATGTTCTATTTTTCCTATACCATAGACTGCAATGTCACCTTGCAGTGTAAAATAATTAACTGACAGAGATCATATCCATAGAGAGAGTGTATGTATGCGATATAGCATTATGTCTGGCATTATATTCGTCTTTTTACGATATTGCGGAAAATGTTGCTGAAGTTTGAACAGAAAAATTTTATGGGCGCCGCAGGAAGGTATTTTGGCCACAAAGCAATTTTCGAGAAAAGTGGATAACACATTATGTGTTAAGGACGTGTGTGAAAGAAATAGACATGTTTTAAGAGATGAATAATACAACCTAAATTAACAGAGGCAACAAAGTTATATATATATGTGTGATACAATATGCTCAGCCACATTCTGTATTCTGTCTTTCTATTTCTCCACTATATCCTTAGTATTGTGTCACGATTATTACACAATCACGTACCTCAGATAACAGATAGATGACAGATAACCATGGTAACATCATGGTATCACCATTACATCATGAAAGAAGATTTCTTTGATTCCACAATAAGGAAAAAACAGGAAAAATAGGGAAACAACCTATTTCGCTACGAGGTAAATATTTGTAAGTTTAAACTAAATCTATATTCATTAACCCCAATATTACTACACTTACTTATCATATCTGAAATGGTAAAACAGTCAATCTAAGAGTTTATGTTAATTTGTATAAACATTTTTATTCGCTTAAATGTAAATGATTACCCAGACAACTTAAAAGCAATAAGATATTTAAATGCTGGTAGTTTGCACTATTAAATAGTTAAAAGGCGTGTACCTTGAAAGAGAATGCACCTGGTAGTGCTGACAGTCTAGTGTTGATACGTATAACCGTCATTAATAACGACATATGCATTCATTTTAAAAGCTGTTCCTTACGTAATAACTCCGCAAACTTTTTAATGATTCCTGTACATTTTAATTATGGCGGAGGTTTTGGACACTTTATCTTACTCTAGTTTGTAGAATATCCTTCATTCCTGAATGTTAGGTTTTCCTCTTAGTCATATTTCTAACACAACAAATTTCCATAGTCTATTACAGTGAAAATAAGAGAGAGGTTTGAAGGTCATTGGAAGACTGTCTCGAAAGACAAATGCTGTCTGAACAGAATAAAACGTATCATTATTTGAAGAAGGACAAAGGCGAAAAATATCCCCGTAAAGTTTTAATTCGTTAATACCTATTTATAGTAATTTTGTCGTGGGGAACTTTGTTAACGGTTTCCTTATTGCGCTTATAATCAAACGAAAGAAGTATATAGTTCTCTATGAGTATTCATGTTCCATTCCGACCTTCTAATTTAAAAGTCAGCGACATATAGAAAAAGTACGATGGCAGTTATCGGCCATTTTATATCCAATATGTATATGACTCAAAATTTGTACATGTTCATTATTATTTATAATACTAGAATAAGAAGCACCATTCATTTAATTTTTTTGTTAACTCCGCAGACAGAATGCACAATCATATACATTCATGACAGGTTGAAAATTTAGCCCATCCACCTGTAGCAAGTAGCAGAAAAAAATATAAATGAAAATCGCTACAAATTGCAAATATCAAATGACGACCTGATGATCTTCAAACCCTTACATATTCGTTGTCAAATCTCATCGCAGCAAAACCTTCTCATTTTTTTCTCACTAGAATTTATCGTAAGATTAACAAGCCAAAAATCGATTTCCCGATAATGTGCGAAGATTTTGTGAAAATAAACTTTCATACGGCACCCCAGCAATGAAATATGATAAAGCATTTTAAAAAATTAAATTAAAAATTTTGTTTTAACTTCTGAACAATACCAATGAGACGAGTTCGTGCTTTAAGGTACAAACGAACTGCAAATGAACCATGGGAGCTGGTCTAATATGGATGTGGCAAGTTTGTTTAGATATATATTAATAAAATGATATGTACTGGAATGAAATTAAACTTCTTTTGATTTGAATAATTATCTAAGTGTAAAATGCTTACGAATACATGTAGTGCGTCATGTAGTTATGTCTGTATCCAAGTGCTCGGTTCTGTCATATGAAGATAGTTTGCTATATACGTGTCAAATTTATTTTTTTCCACATTTAGATTTTAAAAAAAATATATGATTTTATTTGCTAACAATAACCCATTCATGTCCCATTTGGTAGCGTGGTATTTGTTGGTAGGTTTTTGGTGCATACACTCTTTTTTGTTTTATTCATATTTGGGTAATAGGGTTCATCATTATGAAAGGCTGAAAAGTGCATATTTACATGTACATAGTTTCACATGAAAGGACAGTTAATCGTTTTTAGATATGTGCATGAGCATTTTTAATGTGCATGTATAAGGTATATGAATATGAGATATAAGATGTGTCGGCCGACACTGGTCAATGTTAAGTAGATAGAGACAATGTTTTAGTTGTAAAAATAACATTGTAAATATTTTGTGTCGTTATGCTATACGTAATGACATATACTGATAATAAAACAGTGCATAAAAGTTCGGTTATTTAATTTCCTGTATACTTTTGTTAACATGGTAATGTCAACTTTTTGTAAGTGTTTTGAAACCAGATAAAAAAAATGTACATAATTCATGGTAGCTGATATTATGCATTTCTGTGATGACGAGCTTTCTTGTTCTGTGTCAAAGTCATTCGAATGTAAATGAAATGTCACTCAAAGATTATCTTCTGTATAGATCAGAATTCTAAAACCAGACATTGTCGAGACGAAATTAAGTATATCACTTTGAATTGATTGAGTGAAATGAAGAATTACCTGTACTATCATTAACATTTGTCTGTATTTTTATTTTTTGCTGTTCAGGTGGTGTTCTGCGTACAAACCGAGATTTAATTTAGAATGATTGTATAAACATTATTTTAAGGAACGTTCGTTGTAAAAAGTGTTTTTCTAGTAAAGATTTATTCAGTTACTATCAAGCTGCAGGTATTTTCATATTGATTTTGTCTCACCTTTTAGCATGCCTTCGTGTGCACTCCACCTCATGCAAACTGTAAACAATAGTTTTGAATCCTGTTTGCTTTCTGATACATAAACTCTCGAGATTTTAATTTTAGATCACAAATGAGACCGTTGTTACACATGTGAGTTAGATTACTGTCACCATTCAATAAACATTTATGACTAGATAGAGTAGAGTTCTATCGTGAATTGAATTGCATCGTAACACTTTATTGTCCTTTTTGAATCGTCAATGATGCTAAAAGCTTTTTGTTTTGAAACATAGAAAGCGACTCAGAAAATAAAATATGATATAAAAAAATATCGTATTCTAGACGGGAGAACAACAACAATATTTTTTTTCTTCTTTTGTTTTATATCAATCTGACAATAAAAGAAATGCTATTGTAATGTCTAAAAATAGATGCTTGATTGTTTATTTGGAAACCATCAATTTGTTGTACTTTCCGATAGGTACCTATGTGCCGACTCGCGACAGACCAAAACGTATGTTATGGGCGGAACATGGTACTAATTTATCACTTTGCATGTATACAGGGACCTGCAGTGGGCGTAAAACATTTGACAAATATGTGCACAAGAGGCTGACAACCTAGGTAGTTAATTTATTTCATGGCACTGTAGTTTGAATAGATCAGAAAAGACTTCTATCCTATAAAAACACATAAATACATTTCAAATTCAACAAAGATTGGGGGATTGATGAAACAAATAATACAGAAGATATATTTTACCTGTAATTATGGTGAGAAATTATACCAAACCAGTTGTGTAAACCTCACACACAACACATATAACCCAGCCTAACTTATGTAGATTTTCATTAAGTTTCCGACCTTGAACTAATAGGCCTCCTTTGTTGTTGCGGTCTCCTAAAATAAAATAACCCAATTGTTGACTTAGGAACTATATTTCTCAAATTAATTATTTAAATATGTGTCCGAGTTTAATTATGCAGTACAATGAATAAGTCTACACCAAAATTCCTGTCCCAGCGGTAGGACGGATAATCTTATGTAATTTAGACGTCTGCCGTAAATACATCCGAAGGCACTAGTAAATATATATCCTGCCGACGGTGTCAACGACCAACATATATCTAAGGGGAAAAGCCGTAAAGGCAACATTTTTTTACAAATATCAACACGAACGTCATAGACCGAAAATAAACAGCCAATGCATTGAAACTCACCTGCTAGTTATAATAGACCTGTCCGGTGTTATTTATAGCCTGCAGTATCCCTGCTTACATGTTTGCGTCTCTCAAATTATTTAAGTGTACACAATGTGCAGCATGATTTGGATATATACTGGGTTGCTGTTATTTGGATATTGTTCCGCAGAACTTATAAATTCTGAAACTGAAGGAACACAGTTTATACAGAGCTTTAATACAGAGGCTGCTAAATTAAAAGGCGAGGAAATGTTCGCAAAATGGAACTACCAGACAAATGTTTCACCCATGAACAGCCGTCATGAGGTCAGTATCATTAGAGTCTGTTACCATGGTATAATTTATATTGAGTTTGAATTATGATTATGTTGCCATGTTGGTATTTTCTTAATTTTTTGTTATATTACCAAATATTACAGTATGTGATAACACGTGTTGTATTATCACCACACAGTAACCTATATGTCAAAAAGATGATAGGTTGGGTTCACAGATGGTGGCTGTCCAGTTGATTTGCAGGCTCATTTTATCACTACTTGGCCATCAAAAGAGACATGGAGTATAAAAACGAATGAAAACCAGTGATGGATAATTGAAATAAAGTTTGTTGTGAATATTGATTTAAAATGGGCTCAACGTGTTATTCTTATCAGTTATAAATAGCTACTGCCAATCTGCACTTGTTATATTACATGATATCAACAATTAAAAAAGTGCAACTCATAACATTACCTTAATGTGAATCTGTCTGATTGTGACAATGGGAATTCCAGCAAAACATTCTAAAAATTCTAAGGTAGAGACCTACTGCTGTTTTATAATATATTTTGTTTGATTAGAGTCATAGTATTATTGTTCCAATGACACCATCATCAACTGATGATATAGATATAATAATGATAGCAAGTTAATGATATATTATGCATAAATACCTACTCCTACACACAAATCTACACACACGCCTTCATTTCTACATAACCTAAATCACACAGCAATACAAATACACATTTCATATCAATCAAAAATAGACATGTAAACAAAGAATAAACAAAAAACACCGACATAAATACATGTAGTAAAAGAGGAGAGCTAGAGGTCAGGAAAAAAGACGTTTACAGAGAGAGTTACATTTGAAAGGGATAGGAGATATCAAGTTTAACTAATATTAGCCTTTTTTACCATTTGGAAGTAAAGTTTTTAAAGATATCAATCCCTTTACCATGAGCAATATATTTCTGTACCCTATAATAATTTTGAATTAAATTAACATGATCTGTAACATTAAGTGACTTGTTTAAACATCTGACTTTGTATATATACTGGTTAATGGACAGAATACCTTAATTATCAGTTCTGGTATAAATTCAAGATTGGTTGATAAGTCCAAAGATAAGAGTTGTAAAAGATTTTCAAAGTTTATTCCCATAAAATGTGAAGTTTGTCTCCCTTCCCACGAGACATAAAACACAATGGGGATTATTTGCAATTCCAATCTTGTATGAATAAGAATCGCTTGCTGAAATATAGTGATTAATTCTGAAGTTTAACCATTGTAATTTGTATATTTGCTACCATGAAAGGAATAGAATATGTTTTCTCTCTACCTTTTTTATCGTAGTGAAAGATGGTCTTCCCCTTAGTTTGTGTAGATATTGATGCCTTATTTCCAAATAGTAAATTATAGAAATCTTCATACTGAAACCTTCAAGCCATCTGTAAGATATGACATTACATTATAAATTGCCATCTGCCAACATATATAATGTACGTCGAATTTCATAAATAAACCAATAAAATATTTAATTCTTTTCCTTGTGGAAAGTTTGGAAGTAATGATAAAAGATAAGACTCACAAAAATGTATAATTCAAATACACAACATTTATTATATGTTGACGGAACGACCTTATTGTCCAATCGAATTTCAATCAACTAAAACGATCACATTTCTACCAGCTGTAAACATCGGTTTCATTTCAGTCAAATTCTATTTCAATCAACATCAAACACCGAATACAATTTCAATCAACACCAATTAGCAATTTAATTGATAATCAACAACAGTTATTTGTTATTGTTCCTTTAAGATTTATAAAATAGAAACTTATTTGAAAGTCATTCATCATTCAACATCAGCGTGATAGTATTACAAAAAAATGCCTCCAAGATTTATACAAAAGACACACAAGTGAATAATTTTGCTTTGTCAAACCACGTTTCTCCTTGGATGATTTTTTTCCTTGTCAGTTTCTCGTTAATTTTAGGACTATCTTTTCCAGACTGTAATTTCGGCATCTACTCAGTTTTCATAGCTCTCGGTCTATACCATTTGGCCTCAGTGTAACATTATCATACTAAATAATGACAGACTCACACGTAACTGTCGGAAAGGGATAGCTATATAATCTTTGTGAATGTTTTGTTGCGTAATACTCAGCTGTTTTTACGAACAAAACACATAAATCGCAAAAATATTTCTTCAAAATGAAATGCAGAATAAGCTCTTTATCATTTAACTTACCTGCTGCTGTGATTTTAAATTTTGTAAACACTTCACTGTCATAGCAAACTATAAATGACCCACCCAGATGTAATGGAAGCATGGTGCCTTGTGCTGTATAATGAAATACATGTTTGGTTTTTGTAGGTGAATATCACGTCTGATGACTTCTCATTATTTACGACGTAATAAATCAAAATAGCCATTACATAAATCATGGTTTAATGAAATGCAATAAAAATATTTTTGATGATTAAAGCATAATCCTCTTGGTAGAGCGTTTACAGTATTTCAATGCTAGAAGCCATAATACGTACTGTAGCTTGATGTAAGAATGGAATCTAAAACTTTGCAGACTTTTAAGAAAATGAAACTACAAGTCTGACGATTAAATACCAATAAACAACAGATAGATGTTTTTCGACTGATGACTTAAATGCCATTCTAAACAAAGCCACATGGACGTTATAGACTTGCGTGTATACAGTCGTTTAAATTCAAATAATGACATATCTCTATGTTAACATCTAGCAGACGTGAGACATTCCTGGTACGCCAAGTCAAGGACTTCATTTATCTACATGCGAGATAAACCTTTGCTTTTTACAACACTACATCATATATCGTACTTAACTTCATGACCGGAAGTATATTTTAAGTGATAACTGACGGACGATAAGAATAAGCTGTGAATATTTCAACACAATTTCAAGTATAACACATCTCTAAAATTTAGAAACGTCACGTGCTTGTTGTACACTAGTAGTTGTTTTATGACTATACATAAAAAGAATATGCTATCAATATAAATAGATATAGATTTAGAGATCCTGGTATATATAGAGGTGTTACAACGAGAGGATGTGGTATGTGTTATTTCTTCACTCGATTTGCAGTATCTTTCAAAAGTCACTAAAACCACAAGCGTTTTCTTTTGGAAAATAACTAACGAGGGTGAAAGAAAAACCATATTTAACAACCACGAGTTTGTTAAACCTGTTTCTACCACATTAAAAAAGCTATTCCAAAGTTTAGTTGGCCTGTTCTGTGTCCACGTGTGTTTTGTTTACGCTATCAATTATGGCGTAATGAAATGACCTTTAGTGAAATGACGTTAGTTAATACGCTAGTTAACATGCAAAAGTGATAATTTCAGAAATACATATTACATAGAGATATTGTAACTTATTACAAATTATAACTAAAGAAAATGGTTTGTTTCCTTTAAAAAAAGTGTGAGTTTCAGAACAACATAGAGATATTGTAACTTATTACAAATTATAACTTTATAATCCTACCAAAAATCAAATTATTACAAAATACAATCATAAACCAATTTGTAATCGTGTCTTTAATAGACATGTCTCTTCTCACCTGTAAGCTCGCATTTCTAATGTGAGATATCTTTTATTCTTTCTCTTTTTTGGGGGGAAGGGGAGGGGATATTATCTACCCAAAGCATAGTTACATGCTTATTGAGGTGAAAATTATGATTTATAGTATTCATTATCTCTACGTCACAATTCTATCTTCATGTCAAGTCAAGTGTAATCATGACATGAACATAACGAGTCTGCATTCACTGAAAAGCTTACTTAAAAAATGATGAAGAAGTAACTAGTAAACCACTATATAATTCATACCGAACATATGACAGTAATAATTACATATAACACATAATTCTAATATCAGAAAAAAATCTACAATTGTGAATCACAAAATCGTCAAAAATACAAAGGTAACACGTACCGGAAGGTATCAGGTGTATACATCTACACATAATACACTGTTGTCCGTATTGTCTCTAATTATATTGGTAATGAAAGGTGCTTTTGTATTTTGTTCAATCGTTACTATCAGTCTGGCAAGAACACTAATTCTGTAAATACTACAATATTTTTCAATGAGCTTTCTATTGAGTACAGACTTAATTCTGAGTTCCCTCCTGAATAGTATTAAAATCTCTAATTGCCAGGAGGCGGTTCTTATCGCCGAGCGAAAAACGGGTTGATATCGATGATTAGGGTATAAGTTTGTAACTACTCGTTGGATTGACCTGTTAAGAGATGTGGATTTTAGAAACTATCAAAGAAAACTCTCTATCATAAATGTCAAAAATATTGAGTATGCGTAATTAAATTAAAACGATTAACTTTATTAATTTTGATGTTCTTGATTTACAATTTAAAAAAATAAGAAAGAAAAAATTGGGACCATTAACCATAAACCACTTTTTGCCGGTTTTTTTTCACAGATAGCTACATCCAGGAAATACAGATCATACAGAAAAAATAAAACTGAGGAAGCAACAGAATATAACTGGCAAGGTTTCACGGATGCTGCCATTCAACGACAGTTCAAAAAATTGGTCAGTTTAACAAAACACAATGTTGACGACACGGAAGAGGAGGTAAGAACGATTCATTAACAAGCTTATATTCATTCAAAACTAAAATTTTAAAGTCCTGTATGCAAACATGACAAGCAAAATAATTATTCAGCGGAGGGTGCTCTGTATAAATTACAGAGTAAGTAGATTCAAAATGTCTGCCTCAGAAGTGTTAGTAATATTCATAATGGACAATAACACGTATGGTTTATTGCACATCATCATCAAAGCATTGTTGTTATAATACATATTAAACACGTTATTTTTGCAAAGTGCATTACGGAGTCAACAGGCAGTTATATAATGGTTTTGCTATCTAGGTTTGGACCCCCATTTCTCCTTTAAAGGTCGCATATATTTCTGGTTAGTATGTCTTTTTGAAATATTTTGAAGGGATAATATTCCTTCATTCACAGGTATAACTATAAATATCTTTAAATATGATGAACTATTTAAAAAGTACATGGTTATGAAAGGACATTCTACCAATTTAACTTTAGAAAAAGTAAAAAAAAAAATAGTTACTTATCTCTCAATTTAAAAATGGATACAGTCTTATTTACTAAAGGGTGGTTTAATGAAATTTTATATTGAGAAAAAATACTTATAATAATGATAGCAGTCAATCTAAACTATATTAAATGTTTACTCGATGCAAAAGCAAACACTGTCGAGTTTGAAAGTGCTTCCTTATTTCCTGTACTCATTCCAAAGCTATATAAGTATTATCAGAAGTAAACCTTCAATGTCATTCTACCTTGTCAACAACATGACCCAAGTTCTGATTAATTGTCTCGCCTTTTCATTTTACTGTATTTTCCCATTGGGTAGATGTAAAACAAAACTAGGTTTTCACATGAACGTAACCTGTATTATCAGTAGAAATGCATCGTGATATGTAATTAATGTAAAACACAAAGACTTCAAAGAATTATTTGACTTTCCTAGTTCACTTTGAATCTTTAAGTATAACAGCTAGAATATGTAAGTGTTCTTTTTCAGACTAGTTATACATCAAAATGATGAATAAACCCTATTTCTAAACGAAATGTACCTACTGATAACTTGTTGACAAGATTTGAAAGCTAAGATCAAAATATTATCATTGTGTGATTCAGTTTTATAAGTTTATCTTATTATGCATATCGAGGTCATGGTCAAAATGACCAAAAAATGTCGTCTCTAAGCGTCAATATATGTTGTACACAATTCTACATCAGCCAAGTGAAAAAATCAACCTATGAAAATTTGGGAATGCTTTTGAATTCAAAAGCATAAAATGTTCAATCAAATTCAATGGTCCTTGCTCTTTGATAATTACAGATTAAGTTAAAGATAATTTCTACAATCAATATAAATTAGAAAACTCACATATGCATAATTATAAGAATGTACTTGAATCTTAGTTTAATAAATTATCTGTTCTCAGTTCTAAGGACTGTTTTGTGAATAAGCAAGAAGAGTAGATGGATGGTCAATCCTCCGATTCTAGCATCCAGTATATCAATATTCAATCTATTGTGCATGCGATAGGATTTCCAAATTTGCTGGTTTAGACAAAAACATAAGTGATATTTTTACACAACGTTTGTTATTTTGTATTACCTTTCAAACGGCACGTGGCCAGTTCCAAGATCATGGTCACATGCTCCAAATTTATATGAATAGTTTTTTTCAGCTGTAATCTATATTCATCGGATCTCAAGTTTCTAGTTTGTTACTTTTTGATTGAGTTTCTTACACATGACCAATTTGTTACTGTCATTTAGTGAATAAATTTAATTACGTTTTGTTTCATTGTTTGACTCACTTTTTCTTAAAAGAAATTTTCAAATCCCATATTCAAAAGCAAAAACAAGAAAAAAGGGGAAATATTCGACTTTTAAAGATTAAATCAAGATCAAACGAAAGGATACCTTGTTATTGTAATAAATACAATAAATAAAGGTCATATTCACTTTTCCAAATGTGTAGATAGCTATACCAAGATAAGTCATTCATTAATGTTTTATGCATTGGAAATCTCAATAACCAAGGACTAGATTCATAATTTAAATTTCTGAACAAAGCATGATGTTTGTGAATTTTCATAGGAAATGCGGCGGCACACATACGTTTCCGACAAGCAGGGACTAACAGAATCCATTTGCCCCGAGGTCAATTCTAAAAGTACTCCCCAGGATTATAAACACATTATGAAATCTCATCTGTGTCTGATCCCACACAGATGAGGTAAGAGCGACAGGATTTAGCAGCTATCCTCTGATTGCCGTCTTTGAAGAACAGTACACTAGGTTTAGACTTGCTCAAGTACAAGAAAATGAAAGGTATTTTTAACCAGTGTAGATTTTATCAGATTTTGTTACAGCAGTGAAACTTGCGTTTCAGAATCCGGCAATTTTTAATACAATTAACAGATTAAGGGAAAAAACCAAAAGCAAAAAAAAAAAAAAAAAAAGTGTTCTTGTTCCAGTGTAAAATCTGCATATGATTTAGACACTAAACACATATTACCCAGTTTACGCTTAGCACAAAAGAGTACCAATTGCAATGGTATCATGAATGTATGGATATTATAATTCTATTGTGGTAAGAACTTATTGTCGATTTAAGGACTTACAATGAGTTGTTCTATATGATATACCAGTTATAAACTTAGAACAGCTACATTATTACACACAAGCAGTACATTGTATCTAACATCACATAAGCTTTTTGCGTTGGTCTATTGAAGAGATAACGCAAATGCTGAATTTGACAGCATTTTGAAGCGGCGAAACGTTTTCATCAGTGAAGTTATTTCAATATATATCGCTTGATCATTTATAACATTAATTGAAATATTGGAGTATTAGGTACTGAGATCAAATAAGGTCGCGCGTGACTCCTAAATTCAACAATCTTCACTCTTACTTGTGTAAAATATTACCGATTTTAAGGTCATTCTTCGCGTTGGAAAACAACGTAGTGCAATGGTGTTAACGTCAAACTGCACTAGAGTTAACACTTGTGCACTGTAGTTAACACCGTTGTGCACAGGAGTTCACTATGATGTTTACTCTTGTGTACTTATTTAGTACATGTGCACTATAAATACACTAGATACAAAATTAAGTTTGCCTTTCAGCTGTATATTAAACATCTTACCTAAAAGTCAATCATTTCCACCAACACAATAGCCAAACATTCTAGCAATTTATATTTTTCATATCTAAACTCTAGATTGTAACTTCAAATTATTTGTCTGGCCCGAAAAAGAACTTTCTAAATGGGACAAAATCCGAAACCGGAAGTTGATGTTTGATACAATATTATCTTACTACTATCAATAACAATTAAGCACAATATGCAAATCACCAAATACCATTACACTTAACCTCTTTGGTTAGTGAAAAGAAGCTATTTAAAGATTAAAACGAAAGTGAAACCCCTGTGAAATTAGAAGTCGGCCAAAGTCGTTTATATTTTAAAATCAGATCGATAATGACACGGACATCACTTATATGAAGAATCAATATTATAGACCGTGTGGAAGTTTAGAAGTTCTTGAAAGTTTGTTACCCTAGATAGCATTTTTCAACATTGGCAAACTTGACACCAGAATTTCCTAAATCTAAAATCAATGTCTATGATCATGCAGAACTTAAAAAGTGTTTCAAAGGTTATTACCCTAAATTCAACAGAGAGTTGGCAATATTAAATCTTTTACCGTATGACGTCATGGCGGTCATGTGGGTTTTTGACGTACTGAAAAGAAGATGCATTGACACTTTCAGATACGCACCTACAGTATCATATACTAAATATTCTATAAACGTATCTCTTATCAATAAAAAGATTTGGAGACCACAAATTTCAGAATAATAGTAAGAAACATAACAATAACAATAGATGGTGAAAAACCCTAATGAGACAGTCAAATGAAAAATACACCACACAACGCATTGCCATTGGCTCTTCCTGTTTATATAGTTATTGATATATAATTTCAGCCGTGATGCTTGTTGACAATTACTTTCATCTTTGAGAAAATATAAAAGAACGAAAATAAAAAATTGTGTCATCATATTGAGCATATTTGTGATATTTATCTATTTCTGAATGAAAATTAGTTTCCTCATGATAGTTACTATTATGTTTAAGAAGGAACGTAGCTTGTGCATTAAGCATTTTCTTAGAAGAATTTACTGACGTTTTGATAAATCGATCTTACACACTACTAAAATATATAGATCACATTATATTCAACTGCGATGATGGTAGCTAGGGAAAAACATCCTTTGAAAAATAAGAAGACGTGCCAATTCTAGATAAAGAATCATTAAAAGATAGAGATCATTAAGTTTCACTCAGTTTCTTTTCATTACGAAAAGAGGTGTTTTTCCAGATCCTTTGCAACAGTTGAAGTAACGATCGTTCTTCAATTTTAAAATCGAAGGTATTGCAACATAAGTAAAGTTAGCTTGATATGATTTACATGTTAAGACTTTGGCCTTAGCGTACCGTTACACATCTCTGACCGCATCAATCGTAATCGTAATACATTGTATGTGTGTTGTGCAAATGAAGCATAACGCTAAAAATAAAACTTGCCCTTAATGTGAATTATTCAAAAGATGAATTTTGTGTTCAGAATGCTATTCTCTGATTTAAGTGAGTTTTATAGGGTTTGAACAAATTTCAGGATTGAACATGAGAATGTTTTCATGAATACGATAAGCATGTACATTTATTGTTTAAAGCTTTCAGTTCCAATTGATATTACGTTTTCAAAAGTAAAATTATGGCATACAAGAGACCATTGTATAATAAGTTTTTGTTGTTGTTGATTTCGTCATGTTCTCAAATTCTCATTTGATAACATGCCTAACACGTCTGCAGCTCCTTGTTTATTCTCTGAATACTACGTCAGCTGACTCTGTGTCAATATTTGTTTTTGTTATAGTTTTTCCCTGGTTTCAAAATTGATTTTGATTTCGTTTATGTGTCCATATTTTCTTATGGTCACTGAGGAAATGATATAAGGTTTTGAAGAACAAGTCAAGAACCCTGTTACTATGTTAAATCATGTCACCGCATGCAAATCAAAATTGTCATCCTCATCAAATTTATTTTACTGATAAGCCGTTCGAATCTTTGGTGTTGCATTTAACAATAAAAGAGTGTTTATTGTTCCTGAATTCTTGAATCCATGTCCTTGCTGATATAATGAATCTATTAATATAATAATTGTGTTTACGCAAAATGTACCCTCAATATTGTTTATCATTATAATTACAATATTATTCTTGATGGAGATATCTTGGTGAGGTGTTTACAATGTATTCAATATTTATCAGCTTAATCATTTATCTAAAACGTAAAGCCAATTATGTATCAAGCGTATACTGTACATGATCACCTCCTTGGTCTTCACTCATTGGTCAGTAGTATTCGGCTGTAAATGGACTGACCAATGGAGGATCGTTTTAAAATTAACACACCCTATCTAAGTTTTCAAAACTACATATAGTCCACGACCAGTTCTAAACATATGGCAGAACACAGATGCTCCCGGCATTTATTACTAGCAATTAAGTATTTTCTGAAAATTCCTCAACATTTTAGACTTGCGCACTTGTGAAATATTTGAAGAAACAAGGTTGTACTTCTCCGTAAGAAACATGATCTTCTACAATAAATTAAGAATCATGTACTTTCTAAGATATTTTAAGAATCACGTATTCTAAATTATTTTAGGAACATTTAAAAAAAGAAATTAAAAAATACATATGCCTCTCAAATATTTAACAAAAAATGTACCTCTCAAATATTTTATAGATTATGTACAACTAAAATCTTTTTCTATTCACACATATCTAAAATATTTCAAGAAAGAGGTTCTTCTAAAAGGTCTTAAGAAGCATGTACTTCTAAGATATTTCAGGATTAATTACTATTAAAACAGTGTGATAATCATATATTTCTAAAACGCTTTAATAAACTTTAAAATATCGTATACTTTTTAAAATATTTTCAGACGTAATCTAAAATATTTCAAGAAAGAGGTTCTTCTAAAGGGTCTTAAGAAGCATGTACTTCTAAGATATTTCAGGATTAATTACTATTAAAACAGTGTGATAATCATATATTTCTAAAACGCTTTAATAAACTTTAAAATATCGTATACTTTTTAAAATATTTTCAGACGTAATCTAAAATATTTCAAGAAAGAGGTTCTTCTAAAGGGTCTTAAGAAGCATGTACTTCTAAGATATTTCAGGATTAATTACTATTAAAACAGTGTGATAATCATATATTTCTAAAACACTTTAATAAACTTTAAAATATCGTATACTTTTTAAAATATTTTCAGACGTAATCTAAAATAATTCAAGAAACACGTTTTCTAAAATATTTTACGAAACATATATTTCTCAAATATTTAACGGGTTATGTACTTTGATAATCTTACCTTTTGACAGTATCTTTAAAAACCGTGATCTTCTAAAATGATTTAAGAATCGTGTACAATCTAAGATATTTTAAAAAATGTACTTCTCAAATCTTTTATGGGTAATGTATAACTAAACTAATTTTATCATTAAATATGACTTGAGAATAGTGTGCTTTTAGTTTAAATTTTCACATATTTTTAAATATTTTAAGAAATATGTTCTTCTAACAATATTTTGTTGATACGAAATGCTTCATGCTATGTATAATTTCATATTTTAATGAAATATTTTAGTAAGCTTAACACTTTAAAGCATTTTAAAAAGACATAACCAACACAGCCTTGTGCAACCTTTAATGGAAAATGGAGTCCAAAATCCAGATTCCAAAGCCATTATTCAACTGCATGTTGATACCATAATGCACTGTATAAAAAGACAACGTGTTATTATTATCAAACATATCTAAACAAAAACATCACATTCGATAAAGGTTCAGCTGATCGTTATATCAAATCAGTACAAAATAACAGATTAAACTGTGATATTATATATACTTCTAGAACATCGTGATGTAGTAACGTATATTTAACATAACATGATATTATACATACTTCTAGAAAATCATGATATACACACGTCCATATAACATAATATTCTTATTCTTCTTCAGTGTACTTCGAGGCCGTCAATTTTGACCATTAGTCCCAAGGGGCTGGTTAAAAAGATTTTGTTTCTTTTGAAGATAAAAGAAATTGAAATTTTATAGTTTAAATAGGTAAGACACTATGACAAGTGATTTGAAGGTGTCAACAGAAACAAAAGACTGGGGGAGTGAGTTCCAATGTGTGATAGAATTCGGATAGAAAGAGTGGTCATAGCAGTCTGTAGATATTTATATGTATCTAAAAGCGTATGGGTTGTGATGGCTTGAATGAGTGTGCGAATCGACAAGGAAGGGACTCTTAAGATGAAATGCGACTAAACCATGTACTTTTTTGTAGATCATTATAAGTCTGTTTTGAAAGCGCGAATGTGAAGTGGTGGCCAATGTAGAAATTCAATCATGTTAGTGATTGAGCTTGTATTGTGGTAATTGTTACAAACGCATCTGGCTGCTTGACGTTGCACTTTTTCTAGCTGGTTTATCTTTGATGTAGTGTGTGGATACCAGACTATTGAACTTTATTATATATACCGATAAAACATCGTTTTGTAAACACGTACATTTAACATAACATGCTATTATGTGTACTTCTAGAATACCGTGATGTACACACGTACATTTAACATAACATGCTATTATGTGTACCACTAGAATATCGTGATGTACCCACGTCCATTTAACATAACATGCTATTATGTGTACCACTAGAATATCGTGATGTACCCACGTCCATTTAACATAACATGCTATTATGTGTACCACTAGTCCATTTAACATAACAATATGTATCGTGATGTACCCACGTCCATTTAACATAACATGGTATTATGTGTACCACTAGAATATCGTGATGTACCCACGTCCATTTAACATAACATGGTATTATGTGTACCACTAGAATTTCGTGATGTACCCACGTCCATTTAACATGGTATTAAATATACTTCAAGAAAAGATAGACATTAAATTATATACATTTCTTGTTGATCTTAATATAGACACGATAGTATATATAGTTCTAGATTATCTTAATATAGACACGATATTATTTATAGTTCTAGATTATCTTAATATAGAAACGATATTATTTATAGTTCTAGGTTATCTTAATATAGACAATATGTAATATATAGTTCTAGTTTATCTTGATATAGACACTATATCATATATAGTTCTAGTTGATCTTGATATAAACACTATATCATATATAGTTCTAGTTAACCGTAATACAGACACAAATATCAACAGTATATAGTACTGAGTTTTCTTTATCTGGTAAATTGTTGCCTGTAACAGTTGGTGAAGACTATAGCATCGATGTTAGGAATGTACCATGGAGCAACCATTTGTCCAGATGGAGGGTCCAACAACTGCCTAACGTTTGAAGGCGGTAAGTGAATGATAATTCAAGGTCCACACTGAACAATCTTAAGATAATATCTGTCATAGTTAATCCTAATGGATATACTTTGGCACTGGCAGTTGTCAGAAATATGTTTAACATTAACTCGAAATATGTCAATGTTTAAATTAAACTGAAACAATGTTTTTGCATTATCCTTGTTGCTTACACTATGTGCTGTTGAAGAGACTTGTATTTAATCAGTCCAACCTTGCTCGAGGAAATAGTCCAACTTATTGTACAGGACAATGTGAACTATTAGACTGTTTTAGAGATAGTGGGCTGAAAGTTTAATACTGAACACAAAATGTCACTGTCAGCTAGTCTAATTCAAGGTAAATGTCGATACTGTCTTTTATTTTCTTAAAATGTCATGTAATTCTGGTTCATACGAATAACTCCAGAAATATATTTTAAAGAAAAGCACTAAATCTTTTAGAAATAATTTCACATTTTCCATATTCAACGGATTGTCATGATTGCATTCGTTTGTCAGTTCCTGAAAAGCAGGATCCGTCGTTCCAGTGTTGATCAACGACATGACCGTTTTGTCTTCACCAGATGCAGCATTATTTTTGTACCTTACAGCAAAAATAACATTATCATGTTTTTTCTTCTCTATTAGTTGTTGAGAAATGAATTCGTCCGAGTTAGAGAATGTGTTATACACTAGATAATCTTCAGACTATAAGGATAATTATTTCTACTTCCGGTAAACATTACATGTCTATATTACCACAAGAGACAGAAGATTAGGAATACATTATGTAAGAGATTAAGAGAAAATCAATAATGTTTTATATTTCCCAAAATAAGTTTTAACTACTAGGAGTATTCAGGATTTTGGTATCACTATCCTGTATTCACCATATTAACATCATTTACGCAAACAGGATATCAATATACGCCAATATTCTTCATCGTTATCATCTTTCATGTTCGTTCATCATCATACGTCATTAACGTTATGGTGGCATTGGTACTAATCAGATAAAATCGATCCTTTAGAGTTCATGAATTAATGATGAAACTTTGAAGTTTATCGATACTATTTCACGCATTTAATCACATGAATCAGTAAGACACTGAAACAGTAATTGATACATTTCAGCACTGATCAATGTTTATAAATCCTACGTAAAGGTAATTGTGAACCTAAAGCGAAACAAACTTAAATCTTATATTGATGTTGAATTATTATATATTGAGAAATGATAGAAACTATGAATTGACAACCTTTGACTTTTGGCTGTTTGTCCGACACCTAAGGGTTCTTTTTTAGAATTTTTAATCTGTATTTTGTTACTATTGCTTCCATGCGTGCCAAAATTGTTCGCCTTTTTCGTGTTACTAGAGTTTAATGAATATGTGGCGCCCCCAACAGACGAAAAGGGATTATTGGCAGTATGGAAAGAATGGAGGGACGCCATTGGAGCGGCACTGCGACCTCGGTTTGCCGAGTATGTTAAGCTTGTGAACATGTTCGCCAATCTTACAGGTTAGCACTGTTACGTGACGGTTTTTCGTCGTTCAAAATAACAGTATTCAATCACATAACTAATAAGTAACAGAAATAAAGGAGGGGGTTAAACAATATTAATGATATAGAAACCAAACAGTCATATCATTTAACAAAAACGTTCCTGCTGTTCAAATTTGCAAATATGATAATAGGAAATGTTTAACATTTTTTTCTAACGGTATTGAATAATCTACGTTCCTCGCATTCACATTGTTTCTGTTCCATGGAATCGTGAAAGGACTTACTTTAAAACTTTTTCTTTATTCGTTGTTATGTGTATACGTAAACCATATTTAGATGTGTTATTTCCGTGTGTTCGTTACAAAAACACTTCTTTTCGGTGTACAATTGTAGAAAATATAATAATGAATATAATCACTTGTTACATACGGCCGATGATTTCTGCTTTTCCTTCTTTGCCAGGTTACAAAGATTACTCAGCGTTTATTAACCACAAGTTCGAGTCTTCAACGTTTGAAGCTGACATGCAGAGAATACTATCAGTGGAATTACGACCACTGTACGAACAACTGCACTCCTTCGTTCGCAGGAAACTTATTGCTCGTTATGGTGGAAAGTCCTTCCCGAGCACAGGCCAGATCCCTGCCCATCTAGTTGGTAAGTGGTACAATTAAACATTATCAAATAACTCTAGGTTGTTATTCTTTATATAGTATACTTAACTGCAGTTATCAGAACGTTCTTATGTTCATCCTCAATAAAACAAACCGTGTGTAAAAGGTACCTCATAGCGTACACATGTACATCAAATATATCGATTTTGAAATATTAGATGTATATTTAACACACGAAAAGATAATCATAGTTCTGAGTTTCCGTAGACTTATTATTATTATTATTATTATTATATACATATATATATATGCGATATTTAAAAGCCAAATATTACACGCTATTTTGACAATGCCAAGAGTGAAGTTGTATTGCCTAACGTGCAAATACTACTTAATTATTTTGATATTGATTAATCTTCATATTTTTGCTGGGACATGGATAGAATATTTGCAAATGTAAACCAATTAATGTCACACATGGTTTATATTTTAACTGAAGATACATATCAATCAGAAACTTAAATAAGCATTTGTATCTGTTTGTATATTACAGATCGTCTATGGGGAGACAACTGGGTTAACCTGTATGACATTGTCAAACCATATCCCAAGGTCGACGGCCTGGACGTAACAAAAAAACTACTGGAAAAAGTAGGACTCTAGCTTATCCCGTACTTTTTTTATTTTGAAAATTCATCCAGATACTGATAAAAAATTTAAGTTTTTCTGTGACCTTTTCTGAGTAAGAAAATAATGTATCATTTTTTCAAAACTTGTATCCAGTTTATTCATACATTGTACTACAATTTTCACTTGTTCATGAATAACTTGCATGAGTTTGTTTGCTTAGATCCATGTTGTTCCGAAGTACATGTACCCGATTTTGTTTTACTTATTTCATTCATATTTATCAGATTTAAACTATCAAGATGTTTTATTGGTGATTTTTCTACTTATCAAACAGGGTAACACCGTACATGATTTAGTCAACATGGCGCAGGACTTTTATACATCTCTTGGTTTTGAACCAATGACGCAAGATTTTCGGGACAATTCTATTTTTACCAGACCAAATGTCCAATCTGTCAGTGAATTCAACTGTCAACCAAAGGCCTTTGATTTCTCAAACGGGAATGATTACCGGTAAGGCAAATGAAGGGGAGAAAGGAGGAAAATAAATGTTATTTAGAAAATATTCCAAAAAGAAACTGTTCTATTCCTACAGTTATAATACACATATGCCATTGATTTGTAAATAGCATGTGATTGTGAAAAAATAAACTCTTGGCCAGAAGGTAGGTTTAACCACATGTTAGAATGGGCTTAATTTTATTCGCTGTTTTTAAAGAAAATATACAATGACAACTCGGTAGGATATATCAGAACTAAGTAACAAAGCGACTTTCATTTGACCAAGTGTCCTATTGTTCGAGCGTCTGTTGACGGTACGCCGGCTCACGTTGACGTGTTCCACTATCTTTTGAGATTATTGGTGCTGATATTGTCTAGCCCTGTGGTCTTGTCGACACCTAAGTTCGATAAAAACTGCAAAAGAAATATCTGCTTAAGGAATTAAAAAAAATATTTCCCCCCAATTTTTCCTGTGTGAATGATTTAGTTTTTTTGTATCAAATCTATAGAATCAATATTACATAGTTTCGTTTGCTTGCTTTATCAGAAATTGTTTTTTTTTTTTTTTTTAAACCAATTTCAATTTCATTAGTGATATCATTGCCATTAAAATCTTTAAAGTAACAGAACATCTGACGTTTAAAGATGCATGAACTTGCTACTTACCTGTATGTCATACTATCTAGAACCATTTCAGAATCATGCTATCTTCCAGCATTTGTCAATATTCGACTTGCTATTTTGAAATACATTATTAGCACGTATATGACTTACCAATAAGACATGTGCAAACACTGCTTTGTTAGAAGAGGGTTACCCAAATTTAGGTTTATCGTTATGTTGGGTTTATCACCTCGGCAACAAAAACACAAAGGAGAAACTTCAGCGAGTACAACAAGGTTTAGTTCAAACAAAAGTAATTACGTTTTTATTAAAATCTTCCTACTGAAGTTGATGGTCCTTAACTTATGGCCATGTATATTATATATATATATTACTGTATAATGTTGGAACTTCTAATATATCTTAAGGATATAAACATGTTTGCAGTAAATAATAACAATGTAAATGAGCCATAATAATTTATTTTGACCAGCTCCTTGTTGGTAAGTCATTCGACAAATTCGACAAACTGATATCAATTAAAGCAATATTTTTTAAAACTAGGTAAATAATTTTACTGCAAAATTCCACTGTTTTTTAGAATAAAGATGTGTGCTAAAGTGACAGAAAAGGACGCGCTCACCATACATTCTCAAATGGGTCATACTGTATATCAAATGAGCTACAGGCAGCAGCCTTATCTGTTTAGGGAGGGAGCGAACAAAGGTAAGCCAAAACACCCGATATTTAGTCTTAAACATTTAGGTATCAAATACTTAATGTAGAGTGTCCATCTCTCAATGTTACATATCAAGAGAAGGCAACTTTTATTTTCTGCTGACAATAGCAACAGCCGATGGTCCACCAGTAAGAAGTTACAAATGGAACATTTAATCATTTAAGTGTATTTTCAATACACCTATGACTCATTTTCTTTACTTGAATAAGGAAATCGAAAGGTATTTTGATCATGATTATGAACCTTGTTTTTTTCACAGGATTTACAGAAGCAATGAAAGGCTTATCAAAACTGTCATTTCTAACACAAGAGCATTTTAAGGAAATAGGACTTACTTCTGTTGTTACCAGTGATAACAGTAAGTGAACGACTGATTATCTGAATACTTAAGATTTTAAAATAAAGACTTCAGTTTTCAGGAAACAATCCTGTTTGATAAGAAAATACGAATACAACAACTATTTAACTATTTGCGAATTCAAGTTATCATGTTTTGCTTGATGTTTGACAATGTGCGTTTGTTTTGTAGAGCGCGATATAAACAATTTAATGAAGTTGGCCTTAGAAACCGTTGCATCCCTTCCTTTCGACTACATCACAGATAGGTGGCGATGGGACGTGTTCCGAGGCAAAATCACTGGTAAAAGTTACAGCCGCGATTGGTGGAAAATGAGGTAAATGAATAGAACAAAACACAACAAATAAAGAAAACGAATAGAACAGCAGTCATAGTTTGTATTAGTTTCCTATATTGAAAATGTATATAAACAGAAAGATCAATGTTTAAGAGGATATAACTCTTTGAATGAAAATACTTCACATTACGTTAATTCAGGGGTGGCTCGGGATTCAATCAAGATCTTACAAGAGATGAAATAATGATGTACTCTTTACTTTTTATTCTGATATCAGTATAATTGCAAGCTTATGAATCCATACACGAATCTCTATATAGATTATATGTTAAGTTATTTGAAGAAATGTAAAGCTGAGCAAAATATCATATTGCCTGTTTCTAAGATTAACATTAATGTGGATATCGGTACGAACATTAAACCGCTGTTTTAATAGAAATTTCCTGGTTTGGTCATGTACTAACAACAATGGTAACAAATGCTTAATGATATATTTATTTTAGTTTTTGTTGTAAATAACGACTGTTTTCTGCTTTTCAAGGTGTATGTATCAGGGCGTTTCGCCACCTGTCGAGAGAACAGAATGGGATTTTGACCCTGGTTCTGTGTACCAACTTTCTGCAAACGGGCTTTTGATAGAGTATGTAGAACTATAGATTAAAATGTAATGTAAGCAAATATGAAAGGAAGATGACACCATTTATTTTATTATTTCTGTAGCATCGATTATTAAATTTTCTGTTCTCGATTCGTTGACAATTTTGCCTGGTCAATTACTAGGACTGATACTGACAAACTGGGTACATTCAGGAAGATTTACTAACGTAGATGATTTCGAGACCTTATCATTGGAATTATCATAATATTGATAAACGATAGCAGTTATTAGACTGTGTATTTGTTTTACCCTAACAGGAAGTTCGTCAGTACTATTTTGATGTTTCAATGGCAAAAAGCGTTATGTAACATGGGACCACAAAGCCAGCAGCAACTATACAGATGTGACATTTACAGGAACACGGCAGCTGGAAATAAACTAAAGTAGGTCTTACACCTGATAATTACTTAATCAATGTTATAAGATAAGTAACATATACAACATACATTGTTGATATTGACAAGGTCATCTCTGCATTATTATAATTTTTCTAGATGAATGATTGGAATTTCCTTTCACCGTATATACATAAGGCTAGGTATGTCTGATTGTTTGTTCCAGGGAGATGTTAGCACTCGGGTCATCTCGGCAATGGCAAGAAGCCTTGAACTTGCTGACGAGGTCACGAACAATGAGTGCGATGCCGTTACGTGAATACTTCAAACCATTGAACGACTGGCTGACCATTAAAAACAGAGGTCACAGAGTAGGCTGGGACGACGTCTGTCCCGATCAATCAGCATCGCCAGCATCCCAGATTACACTGTCATCAACATGTATCATTATGATAATGGAGATGATATGGGTGTTTTTGTTGTGACCTTGTCTGGTGTTCCGTTCCTCTTTCCTCTTTTTACTATAATCAAGGATAGTTGCTTACCTCTGTGTTTTGTTATACTCTGCATTTTTTCTGTAGTAGAGCCCATAGCTTCCTATTACTAGAGCTACCATTTTCAAAACGCTACAACTGTTTTCTGTCTCTAAATCATTTTCTATAGAGGACATTAAATTTAATTTCACCTTTAGGAAAATTTCAAATGTCCGTGTACTTACATCATCAATATTTTTAATTATTGATATAATAATAGAATGAAAACATAATGTATATTTGATGAAATTTATCATATGTATTTTAAAGAAAATTTTGTGCGCTCACTATTTATAAATCATGAAGCAATGAAATATTTTTTATTTAGTAGCTAATATTGTAATGGCAAAGTTATTACAATTTATTTTAATCACGTTTCATCACATTTGTAAAAGTTGTATGTTACTTAACTTTTTCACTATACATTCTTTTCCCTATGAATGCAATATACATGTTAAGGCAAATGACAATTTTGATATTTAACTATTTGGGAGCATTTCCCCAAATTGACAGGCATATCCTTGTGCTTTCCTGTATACTAGCTAACCTAGAATATGTATTATCCCATATGAATTCTGATGAACTCCTATCCTGGATCGTGTCCTATATAACTTACTTCGTAATTCAATGGCCATCAAACCTGAAAGTTTATCAAAGTAGCGACCTATTTCGTATGAAAAGTAACTCGAGAGTGAGAGAGAGCTTATACTGTATAGTTGATTCTGTATGTTCATTTCTAATGCTCTAGTGTATCAAAATATATACATTACTCGTCATGTACTGTATTCTTAAATACATTCATTACATATATGCGTGCTTGTGTATTTCAGTGCAGGACTTTTTGTGTTTATAATGTAAATATCCCTTTCCATCAGTCATGGTTTCATTATGTAAAAAAGTTTTTTTTTTTTTTGCCACAAAAAGTACTGCTTTATTATATATAAATGTCATTCTTGCAACCAGCTGTCACGGTTTCTTATTGTTTAACTGTTATGCTTTGCTACCAACAGTTCTGGTTTCATAGAGTTTATATGTTATTCTTACAACCAGCTTTCCGGTTTCATTTTGTATAAATGTTTTTTTTCTTTTGCCAGCAATCCTAGTTTCATAGTGTATTAATCTTAGTCTTTGCTGCCAGCTGTTCTGGTTTCATAGAGTTTATATGTTATTCTTACAACCAGCGTTCCTGGTTTCATTTTGTATAAATGTTTTTCTCTGATGCCAGCAATAGTGTATACATGTTATTCTTTGCTGCCAACAGTCCTGGTCTCATAGTGTTTAGCTACTATTCTTTTGTAAGAGTTGCCCTTGTTTAATTGCATACAAATATAATTATTTGCTACCAGCCGTCCTAATTTCCTTGTGCATCAAAGTTATCTTTTTTTTTTATAGAAGTCCTGGTTTTATTGCATATAAATGCTATTCTTCGCTACCAGATAGCATATCATTATGTATAAATGTTATTCTTTGTTACCAGCACTTCTAGTTTTATGGTGTATAAATATTATTCATTGCTATCAGCAGTCCTAATTTATTTTGTATAGATGTCATTTTTGCTGTAAGCAGTCCTGGTTAAATTGTATATCAATATGACTGTTAGCTACAAGAAAGCCTGGTTTCATGGTGTATAAATGCTGTTCTTTGAGATCAGTCGTTCTTATTTTGATATTGTGTATAAATGTTATTCTTCGCTGGCAGTGTTCCTGATAAATATATGTATGATGCAATACTGAACTATAAATGAGAAAGGTCTACAAATCTTAGCAATGAACTATTTTTATCACTGATATTATACTTTGAATATTATTTATCGTTAACTTTTCATAAATTGTGTTGTGACCTGTCATCATCCTTTGATAGCTCCTGGACATACTCAACGTTTTGTTTTGCTTTCACAGATCAAACGATATTTTTCTATAGCTTATGGATAGTTTTCCCAACGTTATATAACACAGGGGTTAAAATAAGTCATGAAACTTTACCATTATATGTCAGAGACAGGGTACGTGATGTGATTTTACACACACGTAATAGAGTATCTCCGTTCCTCATACGACATAGTCATCACTACATAACAAAATGTTGGAAAATACAAGAAGCAGTTTCTAAGTCTCAACTTTTCATTGTACGAGACGTCATCGCTTGTGAAAAGGATGATTTTACATCATAAACAAGCACATCCATTGACTTCCGTTATGAACCAAAACAAGATGAACATTCCCAGAACGTTGAATTTGATGCAAACAAACGATGTTTAACTGACAATTAAACAATACATTTTGTGTTTAATTTACTGTTGTTCCCTTATTTCGAAAAATTGACGTAACATTTTAGATTTTTATGTTTTCTTTCAAACTTCATTATCATTTTCTTATGAATGAGTAGTATCTTGAAATTTTTTGTAATGAGAAGTATTCAAATTGGATTTATTCCCTTCAGAACAAGTATTTTCTTTACGTACACTGTAATACAATTCACCTTTACACACATTTGTAAAAATTAATGTTGTGTTATGACATGATCAATATATTCAACTACAATTCAATTAAACTTTAACAAGTTTTAATTATAATATATCTTTAATAGAAGTATTGTTATTTGTACAAATGTCGTAAGCAGAAAGTTTCCTGTTAGCTGTAGATAGTAATTTGCCGTTTTTGATTTTTATTTTCTTTTTTTACATGACATCAGTAGAAAGCTTCGAATTTGTGTATATATTGCGTCATGTTGGTGCTAGATAGTTTTAGTATTGCTGTATATTGTCGAAACCAATTTTCGATTTCTGAGTATATTTGTCTCGTCGTTTCCAGGCCTAAAAGTGACTAAATGGTTAGATTTTTCCGTGCGCAAACATTGAAATACTTAAAATTAGATTATTCACAAAATTATAACACTTTTGATCGGAGATATCCGAGTTCATCATGTGTCCTTTCGGAACCTCGTTTGAACTCGCCGAAAATGAAATCCGAGGTAAGTGTAAACACTTGACAAGTGGAGTCAGAATAAGTGATTCATTTGAAAATGCATAACTTGTATGATCTCTGGGAACACCCATCACACTTTCTTTTATTTATCTTCGCATACTGCAAATCACGAATTATTTTCCTTACTTTCCTAGTACACTCAGTTAAGCGAGACTAAGAACCTCTCCGCTCCAATTTGGAATTCGCCATCTTTGTCATAATTTCAAAAAATTACCTGCATCGCTCATGCGCAAAGACATTGTTTACACTTTCCGAACGAAAATGATTATGAATTAGTGTTGGGTCGCTCCTATTTCATTTTTTGACGGTTTTAATAAAATTGCTGTGCAAACTATAAAATATAGTAATTAGCTGAACGCGTACAAATTTAAACATATCTAGCTATCATAATGGTTTTATCAATTATGAAATAAACATCTAACCATCTAGTCCTTTTAAAGATAGAAATGTGGTTTTTATATAAAAATATGCTACTGAGTGAATACGTTAGGCTGTGTCATAGACAGATTTTTAATTACATGCTATATATATATATCGATTATATGCTTGAACTGCATACAAGGATGTTTGTTTCTACAATAATTGTTATGTTATTTAGATCAATCCAAGTCATCATTCCTAAATAAAGATTCCTACTGCTTACCACTATCATTAGTCTAGTTTAACACGTCTCTTGTTGTCTGCACAAGTTACATTAACAGACTGGTCAAAGCCTGTGATGTGGATTTGTTTGTCAAAACGAAGCTTACCAAAATATTTCTGGAGCAGATGTCATCGACCGACAGTACAAGCTCAGTTATCCATACGCCCTGTTGTATCCACTTTGACGAAATGTTCTTTTCCTGTTTCCCTTGTAAGTGCTTTGAGACCATCTTCTCTGTTTGATGTCAAGATATTCTTGTCGTTGTAAATGTTTAATATTACTATTTGAATGCGATAAACAGGAATTACGTATATGAGTTGATCGAACTATCGTTTTATAGCGCTGACATAGCGATAATTTCCTAGTACTGTATTTGTCCATATTGACGTGATGAACGAGACTAGATTAGTATAAAATTATTGAAGTGAATAAGCCACTCCTTTATCGATGGATCACTCTATTTTGAGGCATAAACACTTTTCATTGCAACCTAATAAATCATATATAGCTATAATATTCTTATCATGCTATTATCTATTCTGGGTGTGTAACATTTTAACTTCTTTCAGCTTGTGAAATCAGCTTTGGATTAATTGATATATAAAATGAAATTTGTATACAATTCGAGAGGTAGAATGCCAGTAACATATCATCTAAACTGTTAAAACATATATATATATATATATTACGTCTACCAGGAGACCAATAAAATTGGCAACGTGCCTTGTTAAGATCGTATGCATGTGGTGCGTAGTTTTATCGAAAACATTCATACCATTTGTTCAGTCGTGTCTAATGTTTGTACCACAAATTATTCAGAGACATTTCCAAGACGCAATATACGGTTTAAAATTGCTACACTCTGGAAAAGCAGCAAAGATTACACAATATAACCAGAGTGAATAGCGCCTTTCTATATTATCTTAGAATTTGAAACAGTAAATAATTAAACTGCATCATTATAAATTCAGAATCTCGTTCATCGAACATAAATTATAAAAACCAAAGTATAAAATACATAACTGTTAATGTAATCTGAACGACAAAATGTACATGTTCCTTACGGAGTCACAAAGGTTCATGACTGGAATGTGTGATAATTACCATCTAGATAGTTCGCCATTTGATCATTAACACTCCGGAGACAGGAAAAAGTTACTGGACGCCGGTTACGCTCTATTTGATGGTAAGATCAATGCGAACCTGTGTTACAAACTGTTACACATTAGTCCATCCCTTGTACCACTGTGTTTTTTCGGAATATTTTCTTCGGGTTTGAAATGTCAAAAGAATGGAAGTTCTTGCAACAGTATCTGTAGAAGATTAGAGTGTGATGTGATAAAATGTTGCTTAATTACGAAGTGTATCCTATCAGTTTAACGCTAGGTGCATGTTATATATAGCATGCTAGTCACAGTATCAAAGGAGGCATGTGCTACGCGTGACGTAGGAATCAACAACCGCAGGTGCTCCATCAAGCAGAAATAATGCCTGTGGCAAGGCACATTTTCCATTACCTGCATTACCTGTGATCATTTATCACAACACTAGCGGAAAGATATTAGATCATCAACCAACACAAACTTCCTCCGGGCTAAATCCCTATCGTCCATCTTGTTGACTCAGTAGTATAACCAATACGTGAGCGTGTGCGGGCATCTTCACTATTTTTCCACCTCATCCGACTATTGTAATTTTTCTTTTGGAAATATTGCTAATTGCTCTTAGCTAGTGAAATAAAGTATTTTATAACTTTGTTAAAAAAATTGCAGTGATTGTGTAAGATTTCATCTTAAGTGATTAAAGTGATCGAACGAAGACGAAGCAACATTTGAAAATGTGGGTTTTCCATCAAATATTTCTCACATACATTTTGGTATATGAAAACAGTGTTGTACCAGTCTAAAATGGCAGAATACCACGTAAAGATGCCAATTCAAAATGGCGTCGTCTTCACTATCCGTCGTCAAAGAACGCCCTAATATTTCAAAACCTTTTTCGACTCGCCGATAATTGTTTTTTTGAAAATATAGATATATCGTTATACAAGTGAAATATAATCAAATATATTCAATTTCAATCAATTTCACCTGCCCATAATACTACCGTTGGCGTTACATGTCCAAGAACAATATTTCAATGCCATCGGCATAGTAACAAATTTTGACAGAATCAGCTCAGGTAATTGATATGCATGTCTTTGTTTTAACTTCTATTCATTATGGTGTTATAACTGTTTCGTGTATTCTTTTAATCTCATTCGTGTAAAATAACAGAATATCGATTCAAATCCCAGTTAAGCTTGCACAGATGCTTGTGACAAACTCATGATCGTATTTCTTATATCTATATATCATCTATTGACTCCCAAACAATATCATTCTACAGGTCTCGATCAAGCTGTTATCGCACTGGCATATTTAAATTGAGTGTATGAGTCAGAATGAGTCATATCGCATTACACCAGACAGTGAATATTTCTTCGTTGACATTATTTATGTCGCAAAATCTGTTCTGCAGAAACGACCCGGCCGTTGGTCACGTTTGTTTATGGGGTCACCCAACTGTTTAATCTCGTTTAGCTGACTGAAAGTTTTAAAATGGGGTGACAGTATGCACGAGAATTTGGGACTACAACATTTATCAGACCTGCGTATTCTCCAATATCCTATTGTCAATCACAAGGTAAAAGGCGAAGAAGAAGAATAAAATGAGACTGACAAATGTGTGCTGTAATTGGTAAATGGTGATTACAATAACGAGACAAAGGTAAAACGTCTTGATTGCGTCGAATGGCGTCTACGCGATGCATAAAATCAACATTTGAAAAACATAAATCTTGTTTTGAACAGCCATGGTGTAAATGAATTTTTTTCTTGATATTATTGAAAGGGTTTCTTTGTACATGTTAAGAAAAAATATGAAATTACACTGAACAATGAGGAAAACCACTTATTTGAGAGGGAAAGAAGGCGAGGAACCATCACTCAACAAATATCTCTGCTACTAGTATTTGAATTTTAAGATCAGTTATGCGCAGCAAAGTAAACGGTGGAATTCGTAAACACAAACATTTCGCATAAAATAATATTGTGAGGTCAATGTATTAAAATGTATTTTTTGGAAATATGTTAGGTATGCAAGCGATTTATCAAGGAAAATCACTTTTGTGTGACTAAAACAAAAGAGAAGAAAAGTTATTTTTAATTGATGTATTTAGAAAATAAACTCTGATATGTAATTGAATTATTTCAACAATTAAAATTTATATCATAAACTACAAGTGATCAACGTTATTAATGATCATTAAAATCCTATAATAATTATCAAAATTTTACAAATGCATGAACAAGATAAAGTATTTAAACTGATAAAACAAATTATTGTTATTGATTTTACTTTCGAATTCATATCTCTGTTACATTACGATAAACACGTATCAATGTTTTAAGAACCTAATTCATGTCTTCGTATTTGTTGAACATCGAACATACACATGAAATGTTGTCATTTGCTATGAAGATATAAGTATCTTCAGATCATTCGAAGAATCTAAGTTAGAAAAGCAACGTTATATTGGAATATCACTTCTTGATTTACATAACAGATAATACTTAAAATGTCAATTTCAAATACAAAATGGAAATGATACGATTTTTCTATACAAAAAGCTTCTTCAACAGGATTAGCATGGCTAAGGTATCGGATACATTGATGATGGGAGAACCTGACGTAGTGGTGGGAGCAATTGCCGATGGAATATTTGTTGGGCAGATGGAGCTCCAACCAATGTTTTCCTCCTTGTTCTGTTCCTTCAACCATTGCAACAATGGGTCGAAGTACTGTACCAGAGGTAGAACAGTCATTTCACGAGATCCCGTTATAACCTGCATGGCGTCCTGCCATGGTCTAGACGAACCCAATTTCAACATCTCTCTGAAATATTGCAATCGTATGGAGGAGATTTTAACATTTCAACAAAAACGTCATTCTTTCAATGAAAATCCATTGACCTAACAATGTCTTGTTTGACGTTACAACTATGTGCTATTTATTGATGTTGATGACGTTTGACATTATGCCTTGTAAATATTTTCTCTATATTATATAACAACACAAACCTCAATAGATTACCAGCTGACACGTTACGATACACGTCACATCTATGAAGGGGTCCTACGTATCCAACTTCGTCACAAAGAGCCTTATGCCACTGAAACTGGACAATGAAACTGACAAAATACCTGGAAATAAACAAAATCACTAAAATGATACCTGTGTTCTATATAACTTCCTTGAAAATTCAGACAGACATATATTATTTTTTGTTATTTTTATGTACATCGGCTGTGTGTTCCATTGTTGATTTTTTATGCATACAGAGTTCACTTGAACAGATTTCAAGATGAAACCCGGAAAAGGTTGCAAACAAAAATGCAGCTTTTAATTTTAAAGTCTTGCAAATACCTATTTTATTTCTAGTTATTTGTTTCCATGGGTACAGAAATAAACAAATATGTTATCTGGAATCTAATGATGAGTGGAACGATTTTCAAACTGAATAACACACGGACGCACGGGGCCCAATTTGATTTTATCTACAAAAGCGTTTCGCAGGAGATCACAAACGTTTCTCAAACATTTCATCAATATCCATAGTAAAGTTGTGCTCATTCTGTTGAAATACTTTCATACGTTATTGGTGCTCGAAACTTTACTTTCTTATTTGCCGTTCCTATACAAGAATTTTGAAGATTAAAGACTTTAATGCCATTAAAATTAGTTGTAGCCTACCGATATCACTGAATATGACAGAAGGCAGTATTGAGATTTGATAATTTAGACAAGGAAGGTTCATCGCTGGATCACCCAAGAGGTTGTATCCAAATTACCATGAATCATGGTTTTATTAAGGGTTGTTTGTGTCCTTACCCTTGTTTAGTTGTCTATTCCTACCACTTATTAACGAATTAATTTCTCATCGATTTTCGAGCCGTTCATTTTTTGCGTTGCCATTTTGTTCTTTCACAAGAAATCTTTCAGAAAACGAAACAGTTTTACTAATGTCTAAAAAAATTAAAATACAATTTATTTCCATGAAATTATATCATTTTATTATTTATGCACAATTAGCAATGTTATAAGAAAATGCCAATATGTGACCATAATAATAATCCAAACTCAAATTTAATAAAACTAGAGCTAAACATGAACCAATGAAAGACATACAAGGAGACTTTTGAAAAAACCTTGATGACAAAAGATCAGATTTTTCGGACGACTAAGCGTGTTTTACGTCATCGACAACACCGGCTATATAAATCTTGGTCAATCAAAGTACGAAATGTCTCGTTCTCAAATAGGAAATAACAATAAACAGTCAATAAGTGAATACTATTGCATTATCATCTAGGTATGTAAAATTAAATCTGTATAAACAGTGACACTTCATGCATGCTTGACGTCGTTTTAAGATTGTTCAGTCTTGCACTTTTATGAAATCCTGAGGTAAGTGCGACTCGTTATATTTGTTTAACGTTTGTTTCGGCTAAACTTATTTCGACCATTCGCCTTCTACATTTAAACACTTAAAGCTCCCAGTATTAATGAAGAGTGCTAGAAGAACAAAAACACTGAATTATACAGTTTTATTAATTATTTTGCGATTTTATCAAATTCTAGATTTGTATCAGACTAAACTATTCATCTGTATGCCATTTCAATAGTGTCACGATCAGAATATAAACATATACTTGACATTGTTAGAAGATAACCTGATATAGGAAAATTACGAAATTTATTGAATTCTGAGGGCTAATGAAACAGAAACATCTCGTTCTAGATTTTTACTTTTCCTCATTCGCCTTCCGGGCTTCAAAAATGAAGCCTTAGCACCACTGACGAGACCTTGAAGTTGATTGTTTATCTCTTTTAACTAACTGTAAATTTGTAATAAAAAGGTGTTATTACCTTGTAATAATTCGTACTTGAACACCACTGAACGAAGAACACTAACATACTGAGATCATACCTTGGACCATAGCAAACAACGACACATTGCTTTAAACCAGTAATAGAGGATTCTCGCATACAGTATGTGTGAACTCATGAACACGGTATATGTGCACATTCGCAAATTTCATCACCTTTTAGGATGATTAATCCAGATAAAATATTTATTTGTCAGCTTAGTTTAACTTGTTTTCACGTGTTTTGCCTCAATTTTACTTTAAGTCTACAGAACGACATATATGCCTTTTCTGTGAGATTTAACAGATCGTAAAATATTTACGAAATGAACAAAGTAAGATGATTTTTAAATTACAAATGAAAACAATAAATCCTTGCCTTATGTATGGTGTGTTCCCAGGAATATGGTACTTTGCGCCAGGGTCAAAATCTTCCTCTGACCTTTCCACTGGAGGTGATATACCTTGGTATTTGCATCTACGAGAGGAAAATAAACACAACATATTAAAATGTAATCGTGTTTATATTCCGCCCGTTAAAATTTTATCAAAATCGTTAAGCAAAATTGCTTTATCTTTCCGGAACGTCATGAAATTGACCATCATTGATTTGATTCCTAATCGAAAATATTGGAAAAAAGAACCCTCGGAAAATAACAACCTTTACATTATCTTCAGATTCTGATCATAATTTTAGGTTACATTATTCTCTGGGTCGTATCGAGATTTCCCTTTACATTATCTACTGGTTGTGAAAGAGCTTTCGCCTTACACTATGTACTATTTCTGATAGAGCTTACAATTTGCTTTCTTACGACAATTAAATGACGAAGGAGGAAACAATCCTAAACGTGAGATTGTTTTTTCTATTATTTATTTATTTATTTTTGTAATGTTTCTACATTTAATAATAAAGCCGTCTCTTCTGTCAATTTATTAGTTTACCGTAGGTCCCACCAGTCGTGGTTGTAGGTTGACGGAGTGGTCGCCCCTCTAAACACGCTCCAGCGCCACTGATCGATCAGATAACCAAATGGTAGAAAAGCGACCTTATCAAGGGCCATCTTCAGCAAGAAGTTCAGATCACTCTCTATAATTAAAATGATAAAAATAATATGGATACAAAAAAAGTTCCATGAACATAAAAAAAATTCGGGTGATGATTGAAATAAGCAATAATATTATATATGACAACGACAGAGCAAGTGAAAAAACTAATAACTCCATTTTTACCGGAAGTACGAAAATAAGTAGCTAAAGACAATAAAGCATTTTAATAATGAAAAGTTGGAAACTAACACGGAACAAACACAAAGGGCAAAATAAATAATAACAGTAAATTCTGAAAAGAAATAAACATTAAAAACAAAACAAAAACAGGAAAATAAAATAATACCTATGTACATTTGATATAGAGCATAATTCATATACCACGGGAACAGACATGGCTTTCCATTCGCTTATTTCCACATCAAGAATTTATATAAGCACCCCTTATGATACATATATTTACCAAATAAGGTTTGCTTTCTTTAAGTAAAACATTCTGGTATTCATGGTTATATCCAGATTTATTTTACATAGATTATAGGCTTATTAAAGATGATGATATTTCGCTTTTTTTTAAGTATCTCTGCATATATCAAAACACGTGTGGAGGCTTTTAACTCAATCAGAGATCTAGTGATGCAATGATACATACTATCATCAGTAGGAACGTCATCTAACAGTCCAATCGCCTTCATGTGTTCGGGAGTTTGAAATGACAAACTGACAATATCAGCCATGCCTTCGTGAAAACCTGGTGAAAAATATTCTTGCCATGATATTTCAATAGAATGTATGTCCGAAATTAGAATGGAGTATATTAAGTAATAATAAGCATCCTTATCAATTGCAAAAGTTCAACATAAACTACAGTTCTCACTAATGAGCAAATACAGCAATTACGCAATATATATTATAAAATTTATCTTTTTCGTATCATTTATCTTTATCATTTATCAGTTTATTTGGTAACTTATGAATTAATAACAAAATATCATTATAATATGTACCCTGTCTAAATGCCCCTTTGTCTGGAATGTAACATCCAAAAGACGTTGTCGTCAATTCATTGTTTTATGTACAATCAATATACTTCAATAGAAATATTGCAAAAATCTGTATATCATCGCACATTTGCAGACAGCAAGCTTATTAAGCTGGTTAAGCCATGCAACAATATGGTGTAATAAAAATGCAGATATATATGCAAGCAAATATGACTTTTACAGTTAAAACATTTGGCACGGAGTTTTTAAAGGTGACAGGTTCTAACGTAATTAAAGAAAGACATAATTTTTTTCAGGTATAATAGTAGATCAAATTTTACGTACTGAAATGTTTCCTGCAATCATCTCTGTTCAATGTTGTTGTAAGTTAAATACTTCAAATGTAATCGTGTATTCTAACAATAGTTCGGAATATTATGATAAGGTATAAAACAAGTATTTATGTTCAGCTCTCTCAATATAAAGAAAGTTCATAGATATTGATTCTTTTAATACACAAATTATTGAACTGAAAATGGAAAGTGTTAGAACCAAAATAATATATTACTCTAAACTAGATACTAGTATAATATTGAAGAAACATTAAATCGACATTACCAGGGTTAGCTCCCCTGCGATAGATAACAGGTTGATTCAAATATGTTAGGTAATATATCACGTGTCCCATCTCATGGTGAACGGTGAGAAGTTGACTATCTGTAACCGTTGTACATTGCTTTATCCTAAAAAAAAATATAATACATTTTTCTCTAGAGTTTTTTCTTCTGATCAGATGCAAAAGCAGGCGATATCAGGGTAGAAATGTCGGTACGCAGAACAGAGAGTCATTTCTGGCAGGGCAGAGAGGCGATTGTTTACCAGGATTGGCTCCATCACGAAAAAGTACAGGTTGAATGACGTAGGATAAGAAATAGATCACGTGTCCCATCTCGTGATGAACCGTTAGAAGTTGACTCTCAGTCAGAGACGTACATTGCTTAATCCTAAAACAAAAACTTAGCATTCAAGAGAACACAAATGTCTACTGTATAGAGAAAAGGTACTAAAACAATCACTTATTCCAGTCATCGGTCCCTGAAAATGAATTCTATAGAATTGACAGTAGTAGGAATAGTTAATAAATTGATGTTTAAAACCGCTTGGAACATTTAGCAATAAAGATAAAGAAGAAAATAAGTTCAGTTTCAATAAAACTACAAATGGCCATACCAGCCAAATTTGGATTTCGGACTGACCCGAAAAATAACCTTGCCACGATTATCGCATGATAATTTCAGTCAAGGTTCAGCTCAATCGCAGTAATAAGACTTGGGAACTTTTAAAACTGTGTTGATCAGAGAAAACACGATTGGGCACTCATGTTGAATGATGGCCGCCATGGATAGATCGTTACTCGAGGCTGAAAAATGATACTATGACGGCTTTCTTTCCTTGACATCCCTACCAATTTTCAGCTTAATGGCGCCTGTGGAACTCGAGATATTTAGAAGATGTTTTTCCATGTGGTAGTCATGATGGGCCTTGAAAGGAACTTTCAAATCTAAAAATTGAAAAGTTTACGCACGGGTCAGATGCCCTTAAACGGGTAAAGGAACGCAAAGAGAGAAGAAAAAAACTTGTTATGAAAATATATTCTTTTTCAGCAGAAATGAGGAGACAGACTAACCCAAGTTTATAACACATAACAACATAATGTAAAAAGAATACACACAATCATTATAATATATTGATGAATACCCGCGTTGACAACGTGCTTTAGATACAGGAAGGCCGATGAAAAATGTATTCTTAGATAAACATTTCGATAAGGAAACAGATACCGGAACTCATTGTACAGAATGTTGCAATGCGTTCCTAATTTGCAAAATGTTATGCTAAAGATACAGCTGAGTTGGAAAACAACATAATGCACTCTGCAAAATTCATGTTGGCCACAAATCTATGTGAAGAATTTATCATATTTGCATTGAATAGTCTGTATATGCATATTGTCAACCACAGTGTGGTCTCAATCATAGGTAAGACGTCTAGATGTAACAATCCTTTTTTCATGATATCCTTGTTATTCAGTTAATATGCCTATGTCGTGTTTTTGCGTTTTACTCATGTTTGATATAGATTATTGTGACGTCGCTTTAGTTAATGAAATGACGTCGTTCATCCACAGATGACATCATGACGTTACAATGGAGACTACAGACACGAAGCGGACATGACTTGAAAAGTAAAATGTCGGTTTTCTACCATATTTGCTTGATAAATTTATCATTTTGATAAAAAGAATTTAAAATTCGTTTCCAAAAATCACTTGAAAACTTATTGAATTGGTAAGTTAACCATCTATTTGGGAACTTTTTTAATCTCACGACGTCGTCAATGACGCCAGACTGCCACAGATAAATCATGATAAATCACGTGAAGTCGCCGCTATCCTGATAATGTCTACAAGGTAGTTATCATGTGTAATTATAAGAATAATACACACCAATTAATTACCCGAATGTAAATATATTTCGATGCACGTACAGAACATGGGAGGGGGGAGGGGGGATACAAATTTCAAATCGGTTGAAAACCATATCCTTCACGAGAAATGCTATGTCCCGGTAAATTTACCTGGGTGGTAGTAGAACCTAGTACTGCAACCTCTCACAATAAATGTTATGTAACAGTACTCGGTTAGCTTCTCCACGCCAAGTATGAGCTGTTGTTTATACCCTTGATAATATACCACATGCCCCATTTCATGATTTACAGTGTGTAGACTTGCACCTGTGCGTTACAATACTAAAAAGCAACAAAATTCAGTCTTCTCCTGAGAAAATATATATCTTAGATATACGTATATCATCTAACTGAGAACGGTTGTTTGTTAAATATAGAATTTGTCATTTTCACCAACATCATTGTTAATTGCCTTTAACATTTTAGTTTTAACCTCTGATGTTCCCCTTTAAATCAGTGGCTTTTTTTTTTTTTTTTTTTTTTTTTGTCCATCCCTCCCCAAACCGTTTTCAAACTTCTCCTTCGTAAATGGTACCTGGATTCGCACCGCTTCTATATATATAGGGCAGATTCTTATATGTCATAAAGTACATTACGTGACCGATTTCATGGTGAACTACACGTAGTTGTTCATCTGTTAATGTTGTACACTGCTTAATCCTACAAAAAGTATGACGTCTAATCAAAAATTAGAATATGTATTTCTCAATCACTGTTATAATAGTAATTATTTTAAAGCTGAATGTGCAGAAAAGAGACAAAATAGAAGGTAAACAATCTCATTGTATATCTGTTGTATATAAGTTAATGAAAACATATCTACCAGATGTAACAAATGATCAGAAGGTATCTGATAGAAGCTTAATGAAATACACATTATCAGAAACTCCGCACTCGCACAGATTCAAACAGGTAATTTTTTCACAAGCATAAATACGTCGGTGGGAACTACATTACTTTTTAGACGACCATTTTATAACCTGGAATACATTGTATTACAATGTTGCACTGAACAAGGCGTTTATTGACAATTTTGTGTGGAACGTAAAAATGAATTGTAATACAAATGTGGTATGGATATGATTTAAAAGTCATAATCATTATCTCAGCATTGACTGAGGTGCTGAATTCACTTGCCTAAAGTCCTTGCCGTCGTAGAAATCCCAGGCAGACGCATGGCAAACTACATCTCTATCGGCTGGCTTCTCAAGCATCGACTTTGTCCAGAAACTCTCAGGCATGGCTTCGAAGCCGATCGATGTGAAGAACTCTTCTGCCACTCTGTACATATATGTGATATTGTAACCCTGTTAAAAGCAAGCGTTATTTGTGTTATTTATAACACCTATTACATAGGTATTGTTATCTAAACATAATCACTTTTAAATAAGGGAGATATTTATGAGCGGTCTCTTTGTTTCCATGCGTGACACCTTGATTTAAAGAATTATTTCAACATCCTATTCTGTGATAAGCAAATTATTAAATTCCTTTCAATTCCGTGTAATTTTGGCGACACTAGAGTTTTACATCTAAGACTGTCACGGATTTCGTTAGCAATATGATATTTATGCTTTCTTGTGAAGCAGAATTTATAATGGTAATGAACAGTTTTCCGTTCAATACTACAATAATACTACTATTTTGAATCGTATGGCAGAACAACTATATGTTTGCACGTATATACATTACAATTGAACAAATTTGGTATATTCAACACGTGTGAAAAAATAAAATTGCTTGGAATCTCTTTTATCATCGTGATAATAAACACGGTTGTGACTCAAGTATAGCTTGGCAACTAGACTTCGCGCTATTTCGAATGGGCTTCGTTTCTTTTCTTTGTGTCTTTTTTTTTCGAAATCTTTATCATTCGTCGCATTGAATAACAGAATACTGGTAGAAAATCCAGACCAGGTATATTCAAAATCAACCCTGGCAAATGTAAACGGCGTTTCATTTTGTAAAGAACCTAAACAGATTATCATTTGAGGAGAAAATTATCAGGTTTATGTCTTTCTTTTTTAATTTTCGTCAAAATAGAAAATCTGCCAGAAGTCTTCTAATAACAATCGTGGTTAATATGTTGGATAAGTTTATATCGTGGAAAGGAAAAAGAGAACAGTAAGTTATCTTATATATAAATGGTTAACCACACAGCAGACCAAGTGTTCAAACAAATTCAAACGCAGGTAGATTGATGGGAGACTTCATCGAAGTTCCTTGTTCTACTGTCGTTGATATTCCAGAAGTCATTAGCTTACCTTTTCTATCATTTTGGCTGTTATATTCACACTTGTAGCTTCAGGGTAAGGTTCTACCAGGTCATAGATATTAATCCATTCCTGTGACCACATATTACCTGTGGATGAATCATATGTTAGTTTTGTGACACCTTGTAAAATAATATGTACTCTAAAAACTCTAGTTTTATTAAATTTGAGTTTGGATTACGATTATGTCCATATGTTGGTATTTTCTTGTTTTCATAATGTTTATAATGCCTTTCAATTGAGGATAGAATGCCACCTATTTCAATAATTCAAAGATGAAATATTACGTCATCTAAGCATCGGTCAGTTTTTTTTCTACTAAGGAAAAATCATATCACTCTAATGGAGTAGATACAGCACCTGTTCCCATAACAAAATAACTTTAATAGTAAAGTATTAGATAGTGATGGGTTCTAGAAGTATGGAACAGTTATATATTACATATTAATTTATTATTTGCCGCAAAATGTATAAAGTAATATCATAAACAAAAAGATATTATTAATTTCTAACAGTGTTATCTACTGGTCAACAATTGTTTGTGGTTTGTTAAATTACCAAATAGATGCGCAGGAATGTGTCCATTGTCTGGGAAATACTGTTTTCCGTATTTGTTTATCAACTTCCTGCGAACGTAAGCATGGAGATTTTCATATAAGGGACGCAACTGTTCATACAGACTTTTAACATCCTCTTCGAAAGACGGCGTCTCATACCATGATCTCCAGTAATCCCCAGTGTCATTGTAACCTAGAAGACATATGAGAAATTGAGTTGCTTTGTATATTTTTTTTAATAAAGACAGTTTAGCTTCGTATTTCATTCTTCTTTGAAAAGATTTATCGACAGTGTGTTGAAGTTGACATGATAAAATCACAATTCATAGATATAGAACGGTATTCGTTCTGTTTAAAATTAGCATAATTATTGTTTTGGCAGATTGATCTTTCATCGACAATGACAATTACGGCGACAATTATTTCAATTTCCTGACAGCTAACAACAGATTATTCTTTCCTGATTGAATTACGTCTGTAAAAATGCAAATACGCGAAAGCGATGTGTCACTGTGGTAAAGGAAGTCTTAATTGACGAATTACAGTAATGTTGAATACAATTAAATTCTCCAGAATAAATAAGACATCAAACATCTATATATATCAAATAGATAACCACACGCGGCATAACGTATGCACTGTATCGATTACTTCATTTGCTAAATCTAAACTGTTGTTTTACATTATTCACTTACTGTACTTTGAAATGTCATGGTATCTAGTCGATGCTATCTTTCTATAGAAATCAATAGTCTAAAGCGTTAGAAAGCATAGAAAGTCATACCACTAAAAGTGTACAAATCCTACCACTAAAAGTGTACACTTCCTACCACTAAAAGTGTACAATTCCTACCACTAAAAGTGTACAATTCCTACCACTAAAAGTGTACAATTCCTACCACTAAAAGTGTATAATTCCTACCACTAAAAGTGTACAATTCCTACCACTAAAAGTGTACAATTCCTACCACTAAAAGTGTACAATTCCTACCACTTAAAGTGTACAATTCATACCACTACATGTGTACACTTCCTACCACTAAAAGTGTACAAGTCCTACCACTAAAAGTGTACAATTCCTACCACTAAAAGTGTACAATTCCTACCACTAAAAGTGTACAATTCCTACCACTAACAGAGTACAATTCCTACCACTAAATGTGTACAATTCCTACCACTAAATGTGTACAAGTCCTACCACTAAAAGTGTACAATTCCTACCACTAAAAGTGTACAATTCCTACTACCACTAAAAGTGTATAACTACCACTAAAAGTGTACAATTCCTACCACTAAAAGTGTACCTAAAAGTGTACAATTCCTACCACTAAAAGTGTACAATTCCTACCACTAAAAGTGTACAATTCCTACCACTAAATGTGTACAATTCCTACCACTAAAAGTGTAGAATTCCTACCACTAAAAGTGTACAATTCCTACCACTAAAAGTGTACAATTCCTACCACTAAAAGTGTACAATTCCTACCACTAAAAGTGTACAATTCCTACCACTAAAAGTGTACAATTCCTACCACTAAAAGTGTACAATTCCTACCACTAAAAGTGTACAATTCCTACCACTAAAAGTGTACAATTCCTACCACTAAAAGTGTACAACTAAAAGTGTACAATTCCTACCACTAAAAGTGTACAATTCCTACCACTAAAAGTGTACAATTCCTCTAAAAGTGTACAATTCCTACCACTAAAAGTGTACAATTCCTACCACTAAAAGTGTACAATTCCTACCACTAAAAGTGTACAATTCCTACCACTAAAAGTGTACAATTCCTTCCACTAAAAGTGTACATTCCTACCACTAAAAGTGTACAATTCCTACCACTAAAAGTGTACAATTCCTACCACTTAAAGTGTACAATTCATACCACTAAAAGTGTACAATTCCTACCACTAAAAGTGTACAATTCCTACCACTAAAAGTCTATAATTCCTACCACTAAATGTGTACAATTCCTACCACTAAAAGTGTACAATTCCTACCACTAACAGAGTACAATTCCTACCACTAAATGTGTACAATTCCTACCACTAAAAGTGTACAAGTCCTACCACTAAAAGTGTATAATTCCTACCACTAAAAGTGTACAATTCCTACCACTAAAAGTGTACAATTCCTACCACTAAAAGTCTATAATTCCTACCACTAAAAGTGTACAATTCCTACCACTAAAAGTGATGGCTTCGTTCATGACGTTAACAAAGTCGGTGTACTTCGACTTCATTTTCTTTCCCGATGCGTCGCGCCATCCTTTCCATACCGCTGTCAATTCCTGGTAGTTCCTACTGCTCGCCATCAGGTCTGTCAGACCTTCAAATAGGGTGATTACATATAACATTTTGATTGCAAATACCACTTGAAGAGAAGTATTTTGTTTGAATTAAGTTAAAAAATAAATAATTGTGATACATAGTTTTTTTCCTGTTGTTACATATGTTCAATCGAGAATAATGTCCAGTGGCAATTGTAGGCCATTTAGTATTTTCTTATTTAAGAACGAATAATCGAAACTATAGTTTGATACATTATGAATTTGAAAGAATTAGAGCAATCAAGTAGAGCTTCCTGGAACTTTACAAGTACAATTGTACCGTTTATATAAAGCACCGCAAGTCTTACCTGGCTCGAGAGAGAGACAGCCTTTCCCAAACTCTGGAAGACATACCTCGCCCGTACTGTATATACCCGTTAATTCTGCCTCCAATGTAGATATCTAGTCAAAATATAATATTCTTCATACCGGTCTGTATCATCTCAAATCATAACAAAGAAATAGTTTTAAGCATATAACAAGATATAATGTTATGTAACTAGCTTCATGAGTAAGTGGACCTTACCTGTTATATGCCACGTGCTGTGGACATATATGAGGATTAATTTTTTCGTGGTATTTTGTTGACCTAATGTCGGTTATATTTGAATTTCAACATTTTAGGGTTCTGTTTTATCTATGGGAAATCAACAGTGTTATAACCTTTTAATTTCATGTATTGTGTTAAGAAATCAGATTACATATATTTAATTTCATATCGTTATTAATAATTATACATCGGTTTGAAAAAAAAAATTTTTGATACAAAAGGATGCCCTAGATTTGAATATCCATATGCATAAATAAAAAAGTTAGATCAATTTACATGAAGAAATGTCTAGGATTTTTAGCTGTATGCCTACTCAACTGATGAATCAATCCAAATCACCTTTTCAGTAAGACTGAGCTTTACACCGATTTCAAAGCTCGAGAAATATTTTTACAAAACGTATCTTCCGAAAAACAGGCTCTTAAACACCACTCTTATAGCAGTATACTTACTGACTTCAGTTTCTCGGTGTCGTTAACAGCAGCAAACCCCAAGTCAACAAGCTTCTTGAACTGTCTTTTGACGTTTTCATCTGTAAATGTGTTCCAATTCGGAAATCTGGCGGTGATGTTTCTAGCGACGTCTTTCGAAAATTCAGCAGACTCTAAGTTGCTTGCTGTCTACAAACAAAAAACAATTCAAATATCAATACACTTGAATTTTGTCAATTTGCGACTACCGCGTCGAGTACATAGTAAAGCTGGACAGAGATTAAAGGATAAAACGACAATTTACATGTTTATCTATTCCAATATTTCACAAAAAAATATTTAACATTATTTCAAATAATGTATTTCCTTTAATGTCACAAACAATATTTCATATAATGAAACAAAAAGTTTTTTCTTAATACCACAAAACAAATAGTTTACTAAATTTTCTTGTTTGAGCTTTATTTTTCGAACTGGCGTGAGAAAAGGCTTTTTGGCAATAACTTACTATCATAAAGTTTTCTGTGACCCTTTCCCGTATATCTACCCCCGTTTGCCCATGATTGCTTTATTGCTGTCATAAACGCACGAGTACCATTTCCGATCATTGTCATCTTCTTATCTTCTAAACCTAATCTACAGGCTATGCCGAGAGACGAAAACTGTGATATCGCCGTGGTACGGTACTGCCCTATACTAAAGTATGGACATGTCTAATTTTCTAGTTATGACATTTCCATGGTTAAAAAAAAAAAAAAAAAAAACATTTTTTTTTTGTGCCAAGAACAATGAGAGAATCATAATTTCGTTACGCGTCCTCATCAATGTGGTTGTTGCAAACAATATCCAACAAGTTTTATTTTAAATTTCATTTACCTACATAATTATTGTTATGATACAACACCACAGGTAATTATGCCAGAGGGTTCCTATAAATATATGCCACGTTTTAATTCATTCGAATATTGGCAGTGTGGAGTATGTCACTGTTTGACTCTATTCTATCTAACTCTAAATTTGCATTAAAAGTTGATATCCACATGTGTGCCTTTTGTACAATCTTTGAGGTAGGAGGTGATGTCACTGCCGGTGGATTTTCAGTCCCTGAGGTTTGCCGTAACCTGCATGCCACGTTTCAATTCATTCGAATGTTCTAAAATTACCTGACATATGAAAAAAAAAAAAATTTATTGAATTGTGGGGCTGACACCCACCCCCCGGTTTGGATTTTAACTTTTCTTCCTACCACTTTGAGTTTTCTTCAGTTGCCGCCCAGACTTCAAAATGTAGGCCCTTAGCATTACTGACGACTCATAGATGAAGAAATAGTTGTATGAGGCAATTTAAATCGCTGTTTGGTTCTACTGCATCAAACTCTAAATTTGTATTAAAAGATGCTATGCATTTGTGTCTTTTGTACAATTCCTGACACATTTATATATATATATATATATATATATATATATATATATATATAAATAATATGATATTTTCTTTTCTCCCGCCAGTATGATCAAAGTAAAGAAGTATGGTTACATAGTTAAATCAAACTTCCGGGCTCAAAACGACAGCTGAGAATATCTCCTAGAAAAAAACAACTTCGCAAAACAGCTCCACAAAATCAAATGATACACCTGAAAACTGGTTCTGTACTTTAGATCCAAATTGATTACATTCTGTACGGTATTATCTAGCACATTAGCATCAGTTAATCTATAGCCTGTGACAGCATGTTCTGCATTTTGAACGGACAATCTACATGTAGTTATTTGAAAAAAAAAAAAAAAAAAACATACTGTTTATTCAAGTCACACGAGGGAACGTTCAGAGACAGAGGAGACGAATGGTGCAAAGCTAACAGGAGTACAAGAATATAACGAAGTGTCCTTATTTCACTCTGAAAGGCAACAGAACAATGGTGACAGACACGAAATAAAAAAATTAATAAAGAATTCCGTGTTCGTTGGTTATTTACGTAAACTTTCCTTATCATTTAAGTCTGTCTTTGCGAAAGGATTGTGTGTGTCGTCGTTTCATCGACAAATAAAGGAAAGACATATATCAGCAAGCGTAATCAAATTAAATTAAATCAAATTTGTGACGTTTTACGGTAAAACCCAGATATGCCATGTAATGTATGTCTAAAACACAGGGTGATTCTTTCTTTAAAATTTAAGCCTACATCAAAGGTATTCAGCAGCAAAGATTTTTTTTCAAATCATTGATCCTCTGTAACACAGACATGTTCTGATTCGTGTTAACCATTGTGGAGTCGTATCATCTAGTGGTCATAAACTTAATGAGGGGCGTGTTTGCGGCTAAGCTCGAGTGTGTATATCTAAGAACGCAATGAAGTCATAACTTTTCAAGTAGGTCCATAAAGGTAGGAAATTTTATATCATTTGATATTCATCAAATCACTAACCTTGACCTCTGTGACAATTATTCCATACATTCAGTATGACATTTACAATGTGAACTGTCAGTCAAGACGTTATGGAAGATCTGATATAACATAATTTGCATCACTCTAATTGAGCATGGTTAGACAACTACGCATCGCAAATTCGATTGGTTGCTATTTTAAGAAAATATTATAAAGCCAAATACATAACAATGATATAGTAAAATTGCTTGAGTGCCGGGTTTTTTTAATTTCAAATTTCCTGTTTCATAGTCGGTGATGAAGGAGTGGCGGTGACCATTATCACGACAATCATATAAGCCATGATACGGGATCTGGTGTTGACAAACATCATACTATAATGATGTGTTTCAATTTTATGGTGTATTATCAACAATGCATCGCAAGAGTGACAAATTCAACAATGGAATCTCTTATGGTCCAAACTCTAGTCATTATCAGCCGGCCAGTGTACAACTGCATCTGGTTCGCTGCCATTATCAAGCATTATCTTTTTAGAGAGCAATTTCTTCGCGGATATTGCTATCTAATGTCTTCTACAAGGTCCCAGTCTCAAGAATACTAAGTAATTTTCGTTAACTTGAAAAACCCCATAAGAAATCATTGTACGAGTTAAGGAAATTTCCTCTTTTTTTCCAATTTGTTTTCCACATTTTACGTAATGTTTTTAAAGGGTAGTTAGGAAGATTCGTGACACTGGGGACAGACATGTCAATTAATGTTTAACGTGCAAATATATAAAAATTATATTCCTGTACATACTCTTTGTAATTAATTCATCCCTATTTGTCGGGGCAATGTTTACATACTATCAGGTTTTTAACCAGGTTAAGTAAGGCAGGAACACAATGTATATTTATATAAGAGAAAAACATTATTCAGTCTGACTTTGCATAATTAAAAGCGTTGACATTAGCTCTTTAAATTCAATAAGATCTAGATAAAAGTGGATACCCACGATGGTGAATAAAAAAGTCAACGCTGTTATCGTCCCGTCCTCCCGCACATCCATATAATTTTTCTGTTCTTATATTTTAATGTTATCATAATCAGATGGATGTTCAATTAAGATTATTGAAACTAAGATACATAGTCATCCATTTATAAAAAAAAAAAAAACACTCACACACACACAAACAAAAACAAAACAAACAAACAAAAAGACAAGAAAATACCAACATGTCAACAAAGTCATAATGCAAACCCTAATTCAATAAAACTAAGGCAAAATATGAATAAATCTGATGGTTACACGGAGAGTATGACCAGGTGTTTCTGAAGAGTAAAGGTCTTCTGCTTCATCGACGACATCCGCGATGTATATCTTGGTCAATCAAGCAAGTAATGTCACATTATATAATAAGTTTGTGTGACAGTTGAAGCCATTTTGCACGAAAAAAGGGAACAGGCCTCTGAATATCGAATTAACTACCATAGGTTGGGAATACAGGGATAATGCTATCCAGAAATGGGAAATCCACAACATTGCGCTTATACAACTTGGTGGAAAGCTGTCCATGTTTGTTGAAGGAAAAGATCGAGATAAGAGGCTGATGTAGAAGAGTATGTCGTGTCCTTAAGTTTACTGCTTCTTAATAACACTGAAATCAACATTAATGCAACGTATGGGTCTACTACAGCTGACTTTGAAATAATTAATTCACAAGAAAACGTTTTCATTGAACCTTGCGTTTTCGGGAAAATAATTTTATGGATGCCGAACACTCCGTATTTTTAATGAACTCCTAGCAAGCTGAGGTCACTGACCATGAGCGAGCTGTTTGTATTGTAAAGATAAATATATACAATAATGTAACCCTGACATTTTATTTTACGATTTATTAAAGGAAAGAATAAAATTGTAAAAATAAATACTTGGATATATCAACGAACACATTCTTTGGTTTTTATTCATTATCTACTGATATTTATTCCGTGTCATGTGGTCGTTTGTTAACTTTGCAGACGTCTCATTATTTACCAAGATTAACAGTTAGAATAGAAGTTCTTATAGCACAAACAGTAGAAGACTAGAGTGTGACGTTTCGATGGCGATTTGGTCACCTTCATCAGACATATGATTAAGGTGACCGTGTAGTCATCGAAACGTCACACTATAATCTTCTACTGGTTGTGTTATAAGAACTTTTATTCTAATGACATTTCCAACCTGAAGAAAATATTCCAAAATACAAAGATTACCCAATATCAACATGCAGGGTTTCTTCGATGAAGGAAAAACGCTTACATTTTCACTCTAGAATCTAGTCTATGATTTTAAGATAAATATTTACTTTTGTTTATATTTTGCAGTGTTAAATTGATTTTGAGTTTGAATTAAATTTTCATTAAGTTGTTGGAAATTTTCATGTCTTTAAAAACGAATGCTCGACTACTAATTGGCACCAATCTCAATAATCGTAACATTTTTAAAAATGAAGAAGGTAAGTCAATTTATAATATAAAGATTTGTTCTGATAGTGTTTTATTTCTAACACAAACTAATACAAAAAGAATTATATCTGTAATACATTATCATAAAATTCAGATTGTCGAATGGCAACGAGGTGGTTCTAAAATAATGGTCGTTGAGGAATGGGGGAAGGAGTGGGGAATCAGCGACCCTGAGAAACTTGAGTGTGACCGGTATAATTTAGGGATAATTTTTCTTAGTTTAAAAGAGTGGGTGGTCACTCCGTATACTATATAGAACAGTATGCGATTTTTCAATAAGATTTTTACCAGAAACATGTTTTAAAATCCTGAAATCTTGTCCCTGAGTGATCCTCGTTATTGGTTTGCATTGTTCCTGTCTCCCGTTATCGGACTGACACCGATGGTTTACAAGTCGGGATGAAAAGGTTATCAACTGAGAGGAACAATATTACCAGTAACTAAGAAATAATAGGGTGTCATCCATACACAGTATTTTGTAACGCGCATTCAATAGGACTGTTAAGATTAAAGAAAAAATAAATATAGAATAAATAACATTGAACAACAAACAAATACCAAACGTCTTACCATGATCTGGAGATTTTCGTCTGTAATATTGGTGTAGTAATTCCACGCCGCCTTGACATTTTTGTTATAAACCAGGCCTGCCTTTGTATTGTAGTCCTCCAAAAACTGTACGCCCTCAGATTCGGTACCACTCTGGGCCCCTCCCCACCCCAGGGCCAGCAATGTCACCAACACTTTTAAAATCCACATTGTTTATGTTTCAGCGCATCTATTGTTTTTTTTTCTGTTACAACACTATTTCCCGCGAGTGGACGGTGTCTGAAGACTCTATATCCTAGGTTGAACTTTTACTCCGTGATGTACCTGGGCACCTGTTCACGTTAAGATAATGTACACAACACATGTACGTGTATCTGGGCGAAAGTATACTTACCACGCGCTTAATTTGCATATTAATAACAAGTTATCCGTTCTCATGTGGCGTACTTTTTATTTTACTAACAATGTACAGTATAGCTTGGCACGTATGTCACTAACAGGTAACGCTACCGGGGCAGACAGACACAAGTACTGTTTACTGACATAATATAAATATCGTTAAAGGTTCAGCTCATGTGCCTTACTGATTTGAGAGAATTAAAAAACGATTTAACATTAAGCGGTATGCATGTTCAGTCTTCTTCCTCTGCCCTTGACATCCGTTATGTGATTTATATGACGTCCTTGATATGTTAACAAGAACCATAAATGTAAGGAATGCCTTGTATTTTAGGTCTGTAAACTTAGAATCTTAAAATTTGATGATCGTCGGTATAAAATGCCGCCTTATATCTATAACGACGAACTGTTGAGTCTTTTCAAACAAAACACGTATTTTGTAAACTGCATGTGAATCAAATACATGCCTTTTGTTATGATGTTTATCGCGAACGCCTTATAATTAATATTGTGTGCTGAAATCCGCGATTGATCTACTTGATAAAAGGAACTTCTATCGCAGAACGGACTGAGAACTTCCGACCTTAAAGTCTTAATTAATCAAGATGAACTTAACAAACTTATACATTTATAGTTTGAAAGGCATGTTGCATTACACTTTTGAAAAAAAAAATTATTCAAGATAAGAGCAAATTTCCTGTTCACCTGACTTCCGGTTTAGGGTTTCCAGAACTTACGTCATTAGTGGTGAAGGAGAAAATGTATCGTCTCTTACACATTTGTGACATACCCTGATTGGATTGAAAATGTCACCGTCTTTGTTCGTGATATTTCATGTATGTATGAAAAATGTGATATCTTATGGAGAGTGTTGGCAGTAGTGGTGGTGCTTGAGTACCGGATATTGTAATATCTTCATAACCGGCTCCACTAAGGGATAAAACTGACAATACCGACAGAGGTAGCTTACACGGGTCCGTGCGTAAGTGGATATGTTTATTTACTCATTCATTCGTTCGTTAAAACGTCATAACTCTATTTAGCGGTTTAATCAGTGTCATACTTAGCGTTCACTTTTTTCAGCGTCATCACCCCTTCGTCAGATTACATCATCATTTAATTTCTTCGCGTATCACGGGTGTCGCTTGGGTTTTAATAAAACTAACACAAGCCTTGAGCTAAACTTGAAGACTTGAACTTAGGACCCCATTATATAAATTATATTGTTGTCGTGGATTGTTTTTGCGTATAAGTACCTTTCACAATTACAGGTATTAATCAGTGAGCACAATATTTTACTATTCATTATAGCCGATCATTATATTAAAACTGTGTAATTGTGAGAAAGTCTTTTGACGAACATATCGCCGTATTATCATCAAATGTTTTTGTAATTTAGTGAAAAATCAGATGGAAAATTTTGGTATATCTGTGGAACTACTGTCGGTGTTTTGTTGTTTGTCCACAATACCCGGGAGTTTTCGCGAAAAAAACAGATGCCACTAATTGATCGCTGTCTTCTTAAAAAAATATCATTTTAGAAAAGAGTATCTGAATGTCAAATTTGAATAATGGATTGATTGACGTTTTTTTTTTCGTTCATGGTATGTAACGCACATTGACTTATATTTACCCACACGATGTTGGTTATCAGTCAAAAAAAAAAAAAGCTTTCCGGCGTGTTTAAATAAATACTTAATTACCCTTCCAGGTTTATTCTGGGGATCTGTCGCGCCATCAGAAATGGAACATGGAACGTACGTCAGTGTTAAGGAAGTTTCCTAACGAAACGCTGCAGTAACGAATTGGTCAGCATGTTAAATAAAACAAAAATAGTATATAAAAAACAGGTATGAATAGTTGCGGTTAATCTTTCCGGAAATGATCCTGATTTGATTGACGTACATTCACAAAATTTGAACAAAAGATCACGTTTTTACGAATTTTTCACAGATCATTTGTTATAAACATTGTGATCGCATGTTAAGTATGACCATTAGGAACATTACCGCTTAAACTCAAAAGGTCCTGTGCTCATTAGTCAAGGGAAACGTTCCAGTTATAATGGATACATAGTATTATCGCGAGGCTCATGTTTTATGGGATGCAATAAATGTCGAGTAATTGGTTTAATGGTAAGACAGTAGTGACCAGTGGATGTTTACATAGCAATGACCCTCCACATCGTGAGTAACATGATATCTAACCTTACTTCCATTCACCCCACAAAGTAATGTCCTGAAGATTGAGCCCGGATGGATAGTGGACGTTCTAATACAGTCCTACATGTGTATAGATACGTGACACGTTGTGAAATAATTTTACAAGTATCTAATATCTTGTACCACGGTACAAATGGACAGGAGTTATACCTTGTAAAAGTGTACCACGGTACAAATGGACAGGGAGTTATACATTGTAAAAGTGTACCACGGTACAAATGGACAGGAGTTATACATTGTAAAAGTGTACCACGGTACAAATGGACAGGAGTTATACCTTGTAAAAGTGTATCACGGTACAAATGGAAAGGAGTTATACCGTGTAAAAGTGTATCACGGTACAAATGGAAAGGGAGTTATACGTTGTAAAAGTGTACCACGGTACAAATGGAAAGGGAGTTATACCTTGTAAAAGTGTATCACGGTACAAATGGACAGGAGTTATACCTTGTAAAAGTGTACCACGGTACAAATGGGCAGGGAGTTATACCTTGTAAAAGTGTATCACGGTACAAATGGACAGGAGTTATACCTTGTAAAAGTGTACCACGGTACAAATGGACAGGAGTTATACCTTGTAAAAGTGTACCACGGTACAAAAAGGAGATGAAGTATATCACTAAAAGTGTACCAAGATACAACAACGAAAAGAGTAATACCTCGTTAAAGTGAACCACTGTATAACCTCGAATTTAGTAATACCACGTAAATGTGTACCGCGGTACAAAAACTAAATGCGATATACATCGAAAATGTGTACCGTGGTACAAAAACTAAATGCGATATACCTCGAAAATGTGTACCGCGGAACAAAAACTAAATGCGATATACGTCGAAAATGTGTACCGCGGTACAAAAACTAAATGCGATATACCTCGAAAATGTGTACCACAATAAAAAACGAGATGAAGAATACTACTTAAAATTTTTACCACGGTACAAAAAGAAGTGAAACACAAATAATAAACAAATTTGTCTCTGAAAGGTATGAGCGTTAAAATCGTTCTGTCTGTCGATTGATATCTCTTCCCTGATGTCCAAAGCTTCCATACCTTCCACGTGGACTGTACAGGGAAGTCCTTACACCCATCTCCACCGGAAGACTGACACAATCCATTCCCATTGGCCGCATGTCATCAGCAGGGCTGCCATACTTTCTCTGTTTACACCCACATACCATTTGGAATCGCTCATCCCAGTGGTCAGTCAGCTCTATCATTACAATGCTGTGACCAAAGTAGGATATCCGGGCGTCGCGTGATTGGATGATTTCTGGGAAAACTAGTCATTGTCCCAAGTCAATCCGCTTCTAGTTCTGCGCACCTTCCAGTATGGCTGCTCATCTCGTCAGATCTCACAAAGTTAGCATAAGGCCGTTTTTTCGTGCATCTCTGTTTTTCTGTCTTTCATTCTCCAGTGTGTTAGGCTTTTATTTATCTTATGTATTATTTATCTAATTTTCATGGAGGGAGAAGTTTTGTAGCGTGGTAAAGTCTGAGTTGTTATTCCGTGCATGACACATGAAACGAGGACTATCGGGACCATTAGAATATAATAGCGAGGAGCAGCAACAACAGAAAACATCTTTGTCGTCCACAATTCAAATTAACTTCAACTTTTGTTTCCTGGACAGATTTCAATTGCTATCAATAACCTTAGTAGGTAATAATACATTATAAACAACTACACGAGGTGGTTCCGGGTGGCACCGCCAAGGGTTGGGGTAGGGTGGCATCGACATGGAACGGCGCAGGTGTGCACTGACACAGTTTGGGTAGGGTGGCGTCGATACGGGTTAGGCTGACAGCGACAGGGGTTTGGGAAGGGTGGAGGTGGGTCAAAGTTTCACCGGCACGTGATGGGACAAGGTGGCATTGACACGGGTTTGGTCAGGGTGACACCAACATGGGGTGGGGCGAGGTCGCACCGATACCGGATGGGGCAGGGTAGCACCAATACGGGATGGGGTAGGGTGGCATCGATACGGAACGGGGTAGGGTGGCATCGATACGAGCGAAGCAGGGCAGATTGGCACCGACATGTGGTGGGGCAGGTATGCGTTGACACAGGTTGGGGTAAGCTGGCATCGATACGGGACGAGGTAGGGTGGCATCGATTCGGGGCGAGGTAGGGTGGCATCGACTTGAGGCGAAACTGGGGAGGTTGGTACTGACACGGGGTGATGTAGGTCGGCATTGACACGAGGTGGGTCAAGATGTCACCGGTACGGGTTGGGAGAGGATGGCATTGGCACGGGTTGAGTCAGAGTGTCACCGACAAGGGGTGGGGCGGGGTGGCACTGACACCGGATGGGGAAGAGTGGCATTGACACGGGACGGTGCAAAGTGGCATCTACACACAAACTACTGATATCTATATTCACTAGTCACGAAAAAGTCTGATTGAAATATACTCGCTTCTATAGAATCGTTAAAATTCTAGATAGGCATATGTTAAGTTATTAAACTGCCATGATCGTTTTATTCTTGATGCGGAGGTGCATATGCATTGATAAGATCACTAATGTATTGGCAAGAGATAAAATCACTGACATAAAGCACGTTATCCTTGTCCGTGCACGATGCGGCC